ATCCTGCAAGTGGTGACTAAGACCTGGCATAGCCAAATAAATAAATAAAATGAAAATAAATATTGAAGGAAAAAAACAAAACAGCGAGGTATCAACTCACACCTATGACAATGGCTATGAACAAAAAGTCAAAGATAACAAGGGCTGGTGAGAATGTGAAGAAAAGGGAACTCTTATATCCCCTGGTAGGAATGTAAATTGGTACAGCTACTATGGAAAATATCCCATGGACGGAGGAGCCTGGCAGGCTACAGTCCATGGGGTCTCAAAGAGTCGGACATGACTGAGCAACTAGGCACACACATTATGGAAAAACAGTATGGAGGACTATCTTATGATTTTATATATGGACTAGATATGGACTATCTATCCATCTGACTTCTGAGTCCAAAGAAAATTCAAATAAACTAAAATAACCATCCCAAAGAGATATCTGCACTCTTGTGCTCATTTCAGCACTATTCAGCACTATTCCTAATAGCCAAGATACAAAAACAACCATCAACAGAAGTCCATCAACACATGAATGGATAACCGTTCAACCATGAGAAAAAAATCCTGTCATTTGCAACAACAAGGAGGAAACTTGGGGGCTTTATGCTAACTGAGATAAGTCTGAGACAAAATGACAAATGAAGTATGACCATAGTTGTATGTGGAATCTGCAAAAGGTAAACCCATAGAAACAGAGTAGGATGGTGGTTATGAGGGGCTGGGGATTGGGGGAAATGAGTAGATATTGGTTAATGGGTACAAACTTCCAGTTATAAGATGAATAAATCTTGAGATCTAATGTACAGCACGGAATTATAGTTAACAATACAGTATTATATACTTGAAAGTTGTTAAGAGAGTAGATCTTAAATGTTCTCACCACAAAAAATAAATGAAAATTATATGATGTGATGGTTCATGTTGTTGTTCAGTAGCTCATGTCCGACTCTGTGACCCCATGGACTGCAGCACATCAGGCCTCCCTGTCCATCACCAACTCCCAGAGTTTACCCAAACTCATGTCCATTGAGTCAATGATGCCATCCAACCATCTCATCCTCTGTCGTCCCCTTCCCCTCCTGCCCCCAATCCCTCCCAGTATCAGGGTCTTTTCCAATGAGTCAGCTCTTTGCATCAGGTGGACAAAGTATTGGAGTTTCAGCTTTAACATCAGTCCTTCCAATGAACGCTGAGGACTGATCACCTTTAGGATGGACTGGCTGGATCTCCTTGCAGTCCAAGGGACTCTCAAGAGTCTTCTCCAACACCACAGTTCAACAGCATCAATTCTTCAGTGCTCAGCTTTCTTTATAGTCCAACTCTCACATCCATACATGACTCCTGGAAAAACCATAGCCTTGACTAGATGGACCTTTGTTGGCAAAGTAATATCTCTGCTTTTTAATATGCTGTCTAGGTTGGTTATAACTTTCCTGCCAAGGAGTAAGCGCCTTTTAATTTCATGGCTGCAGTCACCATCTGCAGTGAGTTTGGAGCCCTGAAAAATAAAGTCAGCCACTGTTTCCACTGTTTGCCCATTTATTTGCCATGAAGTGATGGGGCTGGATGCCATGATCTTAGTTTTCTGAATGTTGAGCTTTAAGCCAACTTCTCCACTCTCCTCTTTCACTTTCATCAAGAAGCTCTTTAGTTCTTCTTCACTTTCTGCCATAAGGGTGGTGTCATCTGCATATCTGAGGTTATTGATGTTTCTCCCGGCAATTTTGATTTCAGCCTGTGCTTCATCCAGCCCAGCGTTTCTCATGATGTACTCTGCATATAAGTTAAATAAGCAGGGTGACAGTATACAGCCTTGACATACTCCTTTTCCTATTTGGAACCAGTCTGTTGTTCCATGTCTGGTTCTAACTGTTGCTTGTTGACCTGCATACAGATTTCTCAAGAGGAAGGTCAGGTGGTCTGGTATTCCCATCTCTTTCAGAATTCTCCACAGTTTGTCGTGATCCACACAATCAAAGGCTTTGGCATACTCAGTAAAGCAGACATAGATGTTTTTCTGGAACTCTCTTGCTTTTTCGATGATCCAGTGGATGTTGGCAATTTGATCTCTGGTTGCCTTTTCTACAACCAGCTTGAACACATGGAAGTTCACAGTTCACGTATTGTTGAAGCCTGGCTTGGAGAATTTTGAGCATTACTTGACTAGCATGTGAGAAAAATGCAATTGTGTGGTAGTTTGAGCATTCTTTGGCATAGACTTTCTTAGGGACTGGAATGAAAACTGACCTTTTCCAGTCCTGTGTCCATTGCTGAGTTTTCCAAATATGCTGGCATATTGAGTGCAGCACTTTTACAGCATCATCTTTTAGGATCTGAAGTGGCTCAGTTGGAATTCCATCACCTTCACTAGCTTTGTTCGTAGCGATGCTTCCTAAGGCCCACTTGACTTCACATTCCAGGATGTCTGGCTCTAGGTGAGTGATCCCACCATCGTGATTATCTGGGTCATGAAGATCTCTTTTGTACAGTTCTTCTGTGTATCCTTGCTGCCTCTTCTTAATATCTTCTGCTTCTGTTAGGTCCATACCATTTCTGTCCTTTATTGAGCCCATCTTTGCATGAAACGTTCCCTCCATATCTCTAATTTTCTTGAAGAGATCTCTAGTCTTTCCCATTCTATTGTTTTCCTCTATTTCTTTGAATTGATTGCTGAGGAAGGCTTTCTTATCTCTCCTTGCTATTCTTTGGAACTCTGCATTCAAATGGGTATATCTTTCCTTTTCTCCTTAGCTTTTTGCTTCTCTTCTTTTCACAGCTATTTGTAAGGCCTCCTCAGACAGCCATTTTGCTTTTTTGCATTTCTTTTTCTTGGGGATGGTCTTGATCCCTGTCTCCTGTACAATGTCACAAACCTCCATCCATAGTTCATCAGGTACTCTGTCTGTCAGATCTAGTCCCTTAAGTCTATTTCTCACTTCCACTGTATAATTGTACGGGATTTGATTTAGGTCATACCTGAATGGTCTAGTGGTTTTCCCTACTTTCTTCAATTTAAGTCTGAATTTGGCAATAAGGAGTTCATGATCTGAGCCACAGTCAGCTCCCGGTCTTGTTTTTGCTGACTGTATAGAGTTTCTCCATCTTTGGCTGCAAAGAATATAATCAATCTGATTTTGCAGTACTTGGGTGCAATCTCAAAGATGACAGAATGATCTCTGTTCATTTCCAAGGCAAATCATTCAATATCAAGGTAATCCAAGTCTATGTATGTCCTGACCAGTAATGCTGAAGAAGCTGAAGTTGAATGGTTCTATGAAGACCTACAAGGCCTTTTAGAACTAACACCCAAAAAAGATGTCCTTTTCATTATAGGGGACTGGAATGCAAAAGTAGGAAGTCAAGAAACACCTGGCGTAACAGGCAAATTTGGCTTTGGGTACAGAATGAAGCAGGGCAAATGCTAATAAAGTTTTGCCAAGAGAATGAGCTGGCCATAGCAAACACCCACACAGATTAGGAAGTGAGAAAGCAAGCCGTGTTGGGGAAGGGGAACCTGGAAGTGTGGGCTGGGTGCTGCATTCAGAGAAGAGAGGGAGACTCACTTTGTAGTTTATCTCTACAGCTGATCCCCAAACTTATTTCCCCTTCTTCCTGGGCACACAACCCTGTTTCCTCCCCTTGAGGAGGACAAGGCAACCCACTCCAGTGCTCTTGCCTGGTGAATCTCCATGGACAGAGGAGCCTGGTGGGCTACAGTCCACGGGGTCGCAAGGGTTTGGACAAGCCTGAGAAACTAAGCACATAGCACAGCCTGTTTCCTAGCCTCCTTTATGTGGCGGAATGGCCACATGACTGACTTCTAGACAATGAAACAGGCTTAACCCAGAAAAGCCTGTTTATTTTTTAATTTTTATCTTTTAATGTTTATTTATTTGTTTGGCTGTGCTGTGTCTTAGTTGGGGCATGCAGGATTTTTGATTTTTGTTGCAGCATTCAGAATCTTTAGTTGCCACCCTGTGGGATCTAGTTCCTTGACTAGGATTCCTGGTTTCTATCCAGGCTCCCCAGGTTCAATTCCTGAGCAGGGAACTGAGATCCTTCTACAGCATCACTCACTGTGTCTCCTAGATGAATCCTTCTCTTCCAAACCCCTCACCACTGGCTCTAAGGCCCTTCCAGCTCTTGCCCTGCCCACTTCTCTCACCTCACCTCTCAACTCACTCCGCCTTGTTCCCTGGCCTCCAGTCTTTTCTGCAGCGTAAGTCAGGTGGCCCAATCGGACGGCCCTGTCCTTCTCCCCACTCCCCCGGCCACACTTCCTTGGTCACACGACCTTTACAATTGAGGTCTCGGGGTCAGTTCCTGACCACGGGCGCCCTCTGCCCCAAGTCCCTCTTCACCTTTCCTTCATTTCCTTCACATCCCTTCTCACTATCTGAAATGATCTCGTGTTTGGTTTAAGGTTGGTCTCTCCCACTAGAGCGGAGGTCCCCAACCTCTGGGCCACCGACTGGTACCTGCGGGCAGATCAGCGGGGGCATTAGACTGGAAATAAAATACACGATAAATGCAACGGGCTTGAATCATTCTGAAACCATCCGCCACCCGCTTCCACAAAGCTGGTGCCCGGTGCCCAAAGGTTGGGGAGTAATGCCCTAGAGTGTAAGCCCCCGGAAGTCAGGGCCAGGGGCGCTCCAGTTCAGGCCTGTATACATTAGGGGTTCAGTCAACGTGCGCTGAATTCGGGAGAACCTCTTATTCTACCCCCGAGGCGCGCCCAGCATGGGGCAGTGCGAGGCCCCGCAGAAGGTCAGCCGCAGGTTCACTCCCGCCCGCTCCGCGTAGGAGACGAGCTGCCGAGGGGCTGCTCCGCCCCGGGCGTCGGGGAGGCGCGGGTACGCCCCGGGGCCCCGCCCCGCCCCGCGGCTGCCCATTGGCGGCCGCGCCGGGGGCGGGGAGAGGCAGCCCCGCCCGGCGACGCGCCCCGCAGGCAGTCGGCCTCCTGGCGCCCACTCGAGCCCCGGCGTCCCAGCTCCAGCCTCGGCATGTTGGGCGCCGTTGCGCTTGCCGCCGCCCGCCTCGGGCCCCGCCAGGGCCGCCGCCTGCTGTCTGCCGCCGCCACCCAGGCCGTGCCGACCCCCAACCAGCAGCCTGAGGTCTTGTACAAGCAGGTGAGGCCGCCCGCGTGCTTTGTTCTCTGCCGGGAGGGAAGGGACTGGATCTCTTCGGGCCTCAGTTTACCCCGTTGGGTCTCCACGGGTTTGCTCGCAGCTGCTCTTTCCACACAACTTCCTTTCCCTCCCCGCGAGCAGTTTGGCCCCTTAACCGCCTCGGACACCTCGGCTCGCCGATCCAGCTGTTGACTGTGGCCGCGTACTTGTGTTGTCTGGCCGCTGCAGGTGTTCTGGGTTCCATTCTCCACTCCCCTTCCCCAGTCGTCCTCGGCTTTCGGGTCTCTTAGTCGTCCCTGTGCCTCCGCAGAGTCATCCGGACATCACTCATCCCGAGGACATGTCCATTTAAGACCCTCTTTGCAGGAGCCGTTTTGTCTTTTCGTCATCTCTTTAATGCCTTGACTCATGCCCTCGACCAAATGGAAAAACTGGAAAAAAGGGGTCCTTTTCAACTAAAGTTCACCAGTTCCCCAATGGAGAGGCCAAGGCCACGGCCATGGCCACTTGACGTCCTGGCCGCTTCCACTGCTGGGAATTGGAAAAGGGCGGGGACCTTTGCCACCTCAGTGCCATCCCGGGGTGGTGTCTGCACCTTCCAAGGGTTCTTTCTTTGATCAAAGCAAGCATTTTCCAGTATAACCTCGATTCCCAGTGGCTGATTTCTTGGTAAACCAGGACTTTGGCACATTTTCTCTCTTGACCTTTTGAGTTTGGGCAGAGTGCTGGAGAATTCACCGAGGAGACTGGTTATGAAAGAGTTCGTTTTGTTTGTACAACAAGTGTAGCTGCTGCCCTTCTCTGAGCTTCCCCTTCTTCTGTAGCCTGGGGAGGGGCCGGAGAACGAGCACCGGGGCTCATACACTGCACGGGCATTTGCAGAAGTCACAGCTCTGTTCTCTGTGCACCTCCTTCGCACCAGTCTAAGCATTTACCTGGTTTTCCATTTAATCCTTAAGCAGCCCGGTGAGGTAGCTACTGGGCTTATCTCCATTTTACAGATGAAAAAACTGAGTTTCCAAAGAGATGCAGTGAGTTACCCAAAGACTCAAATCAGTGGTCAGGCCGGGGTTCACATCTGGGCTCCCAAGTGTAAGCCGATAACCAGAAACTTCTGTGGTATTTTTGTTGCAACTCTAGGTGGGAATATAGGGGTCACGGCTGGCCTAGGATGCTGGGGAACCGGCTTCTGGCTGGCTGCTTTCAACAGGGGACTTGACTGTCTGGTCTGGAGCTTCGCTGCAGATCTACACCCCGGCAGTGGGTAAGCGCGCATCTGTGTGATTTAAAGGGTGGTGTTGTTGTTTAGTCACTAAGTTGTGTCCGACTCTTGCGACCCCACGGACTGTAGCCCCGCCAGGTTCCTCTGTCCATGGGATTTCCCAGGCAAGAATACTGGAGTGGGTTGCCATTTCCTTTTCTGGGGGATCTTCCCCACCCAGGGATTGAACCCTCTTCTCCTGCACTGGCAGGCAGATTCTTTACCACTGAGCCACCGGGGAAGCCCCTTAAAGTGTGTTACAAATCGTCATTAGCAAGGAAATAAATGGTAAAATAAGATGCCTTTTGCATAACACGAGCCAAAAAGGCAGCAGCTGCTGCTTCCTCATTAGGCGCGTAAGGAGGAAAGAGTTCATGCTTGAAAGACTTGCACATCGCGCAGAAATCTCAACGGAAAGATATCAGCAGCCCAAGCTTTTGTGGCCACAGGTTCCAATGAGGATCCTCCTCCTTTGCGCTCCCGTGGAGGCGAGGGAACAGGGTCCCAGTGTGCGTGAGTGTAGCTGTGGTAGGTAGCACAGGTCCTGGATCTAGAATTCTCTCTAGATTTAGTTTGTAATGCTGAGTGAAATCTTTCTGCAGCTGCTTTTATCACATTTCTTTGAGATCATAAAAGTGACCATTGCTCACTGTTTACAAATGCAGAAGTAAAACTTCCAGCATATTCCATTGCACTCCCTCCAAGAACAATGTCAGCTGGTAAGTTTGTGGGTGCGCATGCACACGCGCGTGTAAAACAGCCTTGCGCAAGTGAGATTGCACCAGGTGGGTTGTTTTCTTTTTTTTCCTATTTAAATGAGACCCTTGCGCTTGCTCTTCTGAAGCTCTGTCTCATTAGACAGTGTATCTCGGTTATCTTCCTAAATCAGTAGATACCAATCTTACTTTTCTCAAGGTTGTAAAGCAGTTCACATGAGGATGACATTCTGCTGTACAGGCACATTTTAAAGCTCCTTGGGTGGTTTTCAGTGTTGAGTTCTTATCATCCCTGCTGGCAAGAATGCCATGGTCTAATCCTAATATTTTAAGTTTCTTACCAGGGATTCTAGGTACAAACTAGATCATATGCTCCAACATTTCCCTGGGGATTATTGACTCGTTGATGTTCAGTGAACTCTTCTGGATCCTGGAGCTTGCCCCAAGGGAGCTGTGACCTAGGCTTTGAAGTTGCTTCTGTAGGCGCTGGATTTTCTCACACAAGGACTTGGTGGTGGTGACAGGGGGTACAGAATGCTGCATTTCAAGCTTGTTGGGTCTCTCCTTGAAGAGGGGGTGGCATAGGCAATAAATCTTTTTCCTCCCACTTCTATTTATTAACTAAAAGAGGTACAGCGGGGTGCTTTGGTCAACTTTCTTGGGGTCCTCTTGCCTCAACTTGTCCCGGATGGATTTCTATTACCACTGCTAACAGGTGATATATACAGAATAGGAGTTTTGAATTATCTTGTTTTCCTTGCAGAGTCTTAAGGAATGAACCAAAACTTCTGTTGGGCTTGGCTGTGGTTTGGAGTTGGCTGCAGGCTGAATGAGTCAAGTGAAATATCCCCAGGCTGATCGCACTGCTTTTACTGTGTGTTAAGGAATTTCGAGAGCCTCTGTAGAAACAATAGATTCGAGCAACCCAAGGAATCGGAGGATTTCACTGGCCCTACCTTGGTTTTTTTTGCTTCTATTATAAAGAAATAGAAATGCTGTTCAGTATGCCCAGAGCATGCTGGGAACCTGCTGAGTTAGAGGTGACTGGGTTAGGACAACGTTGAGACTAGCCACGTGTGTTGTGGACATACATGTGAATTTTGTGACCCAATAACCATGATGATTGATTACTTATGATCTGTCAGGCGCTGTGCCTGATAACTTGAACCTACATTTTCACGTTTCATCCTCCCAACAGCTGTAGGAACCATATCGCATAGATGAGGAAACTGAAGCTCAGGGAGGTCAAGTTCACATTTGTGTGAAACCAGGGTTCAAGATTAGCTCTGTTAGCTCTTAACACACAAGACCCCATGCTGTGATGCCTCATGACCAGGCCCTATGGTCAAACAAGGATATAAATATTTATGAGATAGTTGAACTATTTTAAATTGGAAGGGAGGAGCCAAGTTTGTGTTCACATTTGTATTCCCACACCAAGACTAGAACATAATTTGTGTGTGTGCACTCAGTCATGTCCAACTCTTTTCGACCCCATGGATTGTAGCCCACCAGACTCCTCTAGTCTGTGGGATCTCCCAGGCAAGAATGCTGGGGTAGGTTGCCATTTCTTACTCCAGGGGATCTTCCCAACCCAGGGATCAAACCTGCATCTCCTGCATTGGTAGGCAAATTCTATACCGCTGAGCCACCTGGAGTATAATTACTGCTCAGTAAATATTGAAGGTTGACATTTATGAAACTGTTTACAATCTTGTGTTCTAGTAGCAAGGCATGGGAACCTAAGAGTTCTACTCAAAAGGGCCTTTTTGCAAAGAATTGTGGAGTTAATGTGAACAAGATTGTGGGGACATGTTGGGAGTGTTGAAATTGGCTAGAGAAGGGATTGCAGTGAGATAGAGATTGCCCAAATGTAAGCCCACAGGCATGTCGACAAATTGAAATTGCCTCTCTGGCAAACAGTCCACAGTGGAGTCAGCCCTCCCATCTTGAAAGTGGTGAAAGTCCAGGAATCTGAGACCAAAGACCCTGAGGGATGAGGAGGAGAAAGAGGAGGGCTTGTGTCGGGGGTGGGGGTGGGGGCGCTGCCAGGTAACTGCCCTCTGCCTTAACCCCAAAGTAACCTGGAGGTATCTAGATGAAAAGTGTGAATGCGTGTGGCATTCCATGTTTACCCTGAACGTTTCTCCTTAGGATCTTGCAATACGAAAGATAACATGTTTTCTGTTTGACATAAAGTACTCAACTGCCACTGAAAAACCAGATGCCGGCAGAAGCCATACAGGATAGAAAGCCAAGCATTTGCTCACTCTTAGGGAAAAGACCATATTCCAGGGATGTAGATTTCCTAGGTAATGCATCATGAGTTCTTTCATGCATCCGAGCTTGGATATGAGGTCTTTCTAGAATGTGTCCTGTGTCCATAAATTGGAGCTTCTGAAGGGCATTTAACCTTGTCTTGGAGGCCATGGGCATATTATGACTATCCCTGTGTCCTCACTTTGGTTAAGACTCCTCTCCGGGGTCCTGCAGTCCTGCTCTACTGTCCCTGCACCAGCTTCGCCCCTCCCCCCAAGTTTCTGTTTGCATTTCCTAATCTGCGGGGACCTGGAATACAAGATATCTGAGGAAGCCAAGGATTGTGTTATCCTGCAACTCAGCAGTTCTAATTTTTATAGAGTAACCTGCCCCAGCTTTGCAAAGATGCACATCAACTCAAAGGATGTTCGCTGCAGCAGCACTGTCAGGAGTATAGGCAGACCTCATTTTATTGCACTGTGCTTTACTGCACAGTAAAAATACTGTGGTTTTTTTTTTTTTTTACAAATTGGTTTGTAGCAACTCTGCATGGAGCAAGTCTGTCAGCGCCATTTTCCCAACAGCATTTGCTCCCTTCCTGTCTTTCTGTCATGTTTTGGTAATTTTCACCGTATTTCAAATCCTCCAGCAGCAAAAAAAATTTACAGCTTGCTGAAGGCACAGAAGATGACTGGCACTTTTAGCAATAAGGTTTTTTTCCAGTTCAAAGTAGGCCCATTGTTTTTTTGTTTTTTTTTAGATATCATGATATTGCACCCTTAAAAGACTGGTATAGTGCAAACAAATCTTTCATATGCACTGGGAAACCTAAAGATTCATGTGGTTCCCTTTATTATAGTACGTTATTGCAGTGGTCTGGACTAAAAATAAAATACCTCTCTGAGGTCTGTTTGTAGTGAAAACTTGTCCTAAAGTGCATTTGTAGGACATGATTCAACAAATTGCTGTCTGTTAAGTTTTGAAGATTGCTATGTTGCTTAAAATAGTGAGGCAGATTGCCTGTGGAATAATGTCCAAGATAAACTCACTCATAAAAGAAGCAACTTACAAAATAAAAGCCCATGATCTCCACTGGGAGCGGATGCTCCGCATGTCCGTCCCACGCCCCTCAGAACCCCAGCACCCATGCGGGTCCTGGTGCCCAGCAGGTGCGGACCCCAGAGCGCACCCTGCTCTCACCCTGCAGCCCCGGGGCCCTCCGGTTCCTCCTGTGCCCAGGCCCCTCCCGCGGGCACCCTGTGTCCTCACTGCTCCAGAGGCGAGAAGGGGGAGTGAGAGCCCGGTAGGACCGCCTCCCAGGGTGACTGAGTTAGCATGCTATGTAAGTTAGGCCTTGGGTTTCAAGAGGTCAGGAAGCGTTTGGCCTGGAGTCTGCTCTTGTGAAGTCGCTATGAGACTCTCCTCAGTCGAAGCAGAACTTCGGCAGTGCCTCAGTCTGGGAACGCTTCTCACCCTGGCTCCCCCTTGCCCCACCTCCCCAAGGAGGAGACCATTAAAGCCTGGTTCTAGGAGAGGGGAAGTGGGAACTCTATAAACAGAAGAAAGATTCCAGTTTCCTGCAAACCCCACCTTATCTTGTTAGAAGGGAGGACAGACTGTTGAAAACTCAACAATGGAGAGTGACTCAGCAAATTCAGGCCACTGAGAGGGAGGCCGGTGCCAGGGACTGGTCTTGCCAGGATCCTGGACTAAGATCAGGGGACATTGTGGGCCTCGCCCAGGGAGGAAGGGGTGAGGACCTGGGGAGTTTCACCAGACTGGCACATTGTCCACTTCATACCTCCTGATTGTGAAATAACAGTGGAGACTTTCTCAGGATAGACTAATTCTGGATCTGGAGGAACGCAGGGACTGTGGTGGTGAGACACGGTGTGTGTGGGGTCCTGGCCCAGGAGTTTTACACCCCTTGTGGAGTTTCACCCTCACATTTAAGCCCCCAGATGTATTATTTCCAGAGACTGATGAGGCATCCGGAGATAAAGGGATTGGCCCAGGGTCACAGCTTGAGAGAGGTAGAGCCAGGATTCCAAGCCATGTCTGTGTGGCTTAGAGGCTGTGCTTTTTTACAGTACCCATAATAAAAACTCAAAATCAAACTTGCAGTAGGGCAGTACATAAACCATAAAGGTGGAGATTAAGAAACAAGAGTTCTGACCTCCTTGAAGGCAGACATGGGCCCTGGACTAGAGTTGAGAAGAACTGGGCAAAGAGCATAGGGCTCAGAGTTCCAAAGACCTGGGTTCAAATCCAGGTTCTGCCTTCACTGCTGTGTGACTTTGATCAGGTGGCTTGGCCTCTCTGTGCCTCAGTGTCCCCCCTGCCCCACTGTAGAGAGGATGAAACTCACCTAGGTTTGCTATGAAGTTTAAATGGGAATGATCCAGTTTTGGAAAGCTTCCAATACAGGGGCTGCCATATAATGAGTAGCTAATAACAGTCATGAGCCATTTCCATGACATGGAGGTGTGAGGGGGGACCATCCTCATGGGACCAGGCGCTGACATCCCGGTCAAGAGGAGGGAACAGTTCAAGGCCAGCCAGTCTCACCCCACCGCTGCAGTCCGCCTCTCTCTGTAGCTACTTATCTCTGGCTTCAAGTGCATCTGTGAAGTGGTGAGTGTGAGGCTGGGAACCTGAGTTTGCACTCAGGGTGGCGATGGGAACAGATGCTCAGAGGGTCAAAGACTGTGTGCCAGGCCCTCCTCCTTCCTCCACAGATGTTATCTCTGCTCCTCCCCCTGTGCCTCCCTCTCCAAGTTCACCAGGAGGTGAAGCTGATTTCTCAGAGGGGAGTACCCAGGCAAAGTATGGCCCAGTCCAGCTTGAACTTGGGTCCACCTGGCTGAACTCTTTCTGCCATACCTGTTCACTCCACTGGAAGCGACCTCTTGCCCACTTCCCAGCCCTCCTGCAGGAAGAAACAGATGTGTTTTTTCCTATCAGATTGATGATCAGCCAACTAAAGTGAAACCCACACACATTTCCAGAGAACCTGGCTGAGTGACTATAGACAACTGCCTGGGTCCTCAGCCAGGGCCAGGCCATGGTGGGATGCTGGGTCCCAGGAGAGCCCCTGGGAAAGGAAGGCAGAGTGGCCTTGGACCGATGGCCTTGCCTACACCCCACCTGTGACCTTTGCCCCAGCCTTGGTTAAAGGGACTGAAACATCTCAGCTGGCTTCCTGAGACCAATTTCCCCAGCCTCATGGGACAGCTTGCTTCACAGGACCCACCCTCCTCTCCGTCCCCATCTCCTAGCACTCTTTTTCTTGTTCACCAGTAACTCCGGCCACCTTTGTTTTTTCTCTAACACACCAGACTTACTTCTGCCCCAGGGCCTTTGCACTTGCTGTTCCTGCGGCCTGGACTGCTCCTCCTCCCCCCACTCTTCCCGTGGCTGGCTCCTTTCATCAGTCAGGGCTCAAGTCAAATGTCTGCTCTTCAGAGAAGCCCTCCTTGACCATCCCAGTTAGAGTTCTCTATCTTCCCCCACTTCAGTACTCTCTGCATCTCGTTTTTCTCTTTTGCACTTAAGACTGCAGTCTGAGGCTGCCTTGTGTATTTGATTGTGTCTTTACTTTCTGTGCCTACCAGAATGCCAGCTCCATGAAAGAAAGGTCCTTACTGAGTTTGGTTCCCACTCTGTGTCCTCAACCCTAGAACAGTGCCCTGCCCACTGCAGATGTTCACTAAATATTTACTGAATGGATGAAAAGAAGAATCTAACTCAGTTCTCATAACGACCCTGACAGTAGTGTGGTAGAGGAATGGTGGTTTCTATGACATAACGTGACTGATGGAATTTGGTGGCAGAAGGCAGGCTGTATGACTTCTGAAGCTAGATCTTAGGCAGCCTTTCAGGGACTTCCCTGGTTGGCCCAGTGGCTAAGAATCTGCCTTCCAATGCAGGGGATGTGGGTTCGATCCCCGATTGGGGAAAACTAAGATCCCACATGCCATGAGACAACTAAGCCTGTGTGCCATTAACTAGAGAACCTGTGCTCCAACCAGAGAAGCCCTTGTGCCACAGCACAGCCAAAAAATAAAGATCAATAAATAAAACAAAGAAGACTTTAAATAAAAAAAAAAAAGAAGAAGCCTTCCAGCTTCTGCCTGATGGTGTTGACTGCTCTGGGAAGCCAGCTGTCATGTGAAAGGTCTGACTAGCCTGAGTCTGCCATGGAGTCAGGAAGCCCAGGCACCCATGTGGCCACAGACATACGAGAGAAGCAGGCATCTTGCATCGTCAGCCCCAGGTGCCTTCGTTCTGCAACCACATGACCAAGCCCTGCCCGGCTGAGCCCAATCAATGGACCCAACCGTGTGAGATGGTAATAAATCAGTTTAAGCTACCAAATTTTGAGGTGATGTCACACAGTGGTAGATACAGATAACTGATAAGGAAGGTATGTAGTCTTCATTTTTCGGACCAAAGAAACCAGGGCATTGAAAGGACTGATGCCTTACCTCAGTACTTTTAGCAGAGTGGATGCTCCAGCTCGGACTGTCTCCAAGGCCTGTGCTTTTAACTTCTAGGCCACATATCTCTGAAGCTAATTCCTATTTGTTCTCTCTGATTTTTTTTTTTTTTTTAACATTGCTTGTGGTCAGTATCAGGTTGAGAGCTGCTCCTCAGGACTTTCTTCCTTTTCATTGCAGATCTTTATAAACAATGAGTGGCATGATGCCGTCAGCAAGAAAACCTTCCCCACGGTCAATCCATCCACTGGGGACGTCATCTGTCACGTGGCTGAAGGGGACAAGGTAAGAATTGGTGACTTAACCTCAGGGCAGGGCTGAGCAGGTTGGGGACAAGTGGGCAAGTGTGGTTTTCACTCTTTAACATAGGTTTTCGTATGGCTGAAACTTTATCATGTATTACTTTCATAACTAAAATGCCCATTAAGATTTTTGAGTAAGTGAAGCCACAGAAACTTCCTTATAGATAAAAGTGCTAGATTGTACCCCGGTTCAAGAATTCATACAGCTGTAGAATTGCAGACTTGGAATTTAATTTGAGAACGTCTAATCCAGTCTCTCTATCCCAGACCTGGAAGCTGAAGGTCAGAGAAGGGAAGTGCACAGCTGGTTGGAAATCTTGTTGAGCACAATTTGGGTCTTCTGAGATCTAGCTATGGTAGCTGTAGTATATTTTTTATTTACATATACCCATGGTAATTAAAAAACAGTAATATTAAAGTTAAAAAATTAGACATTCAGTAAAAAAAAAAACTTCATTTTTTAAAACAGAAAAAGCTTTAACAAATGATTCAAGAATGCTTCCTGTCCTCTGCTTTAAGATAGTCTTCTATGTGCATATTTAAAGCCTTGCTTCCTTTGCTAAAAGAAAGTGTGAATACTTTTCTGACTCATAGTCTAATGGTAAATGTATTTAATATTAATGACAACCATGCTCCCCACCTCCTGATACACATCTGCCTCTATGAAAAATGCTAGCTGTGTTGATTTTATTGCTACCCCAAGGAAAGAGAAGCTGATTAAACCTGCATGTGTTGTAGACTGCCAGTCATCTCGGAAGGAATTTTACTGAACTGGTTTAGGAAGGAAGCGAGGGTCAGAAATGGTCAGTTTCTAAGTGCTGATCCCTGTGTTGCTGCTCCCTACATAACTCTTTGGGGGATTCGGAAATGGGAAGCCATCAGCATCCTCATTCCCACTCTGACTTCTGGCAAGGAGAGGAGCCCAGCTGCTCATTCTAAACCTGGTCCACAGAGCTCTTCGAGGCTGGGAGGAACTGTTTGGGGCAGTGTCTCCACTGTTATCGACTGGAGCCCCTGTGGGTGCGTTTGGCAGTGGGTCAGGAGGCATTTGGAGGGAGGTTACTGCTGAGAAGGCCTGAGGTGCCTGGGTGGGTGTTTTCCAGGCAGACGTGGACAGGGCAGTGAAGGCTGCCCGGGCCGCATTCCAGCTGGGCTCACCCTGGCGCCGCATGGATGCGTCTGAGAGGGGCCGGCTGCTGAACCGCCTGGCTGATCTGATTGAGCGAGACCGGACCTACCTGGCAGTGAGTTCTGAACCTCCTCCTTTCTCAACCTACACGGAGAACAGACATCCCACGGATAGTCAGCAAAGGGTTGCATCGCTGACAAGTAACTGACCAGAATGCTGTAGGCGGGACACCTTTGGGGTTTGCCCCTGTGTCAACCTGGGGAGCCTCTTGAGTGTTTCCTTTGATGTGATGGGTCTGGCTAAGAAAGGAGACGGGTGGGGAGGGGCTGTGATGGGGAGGCCTTCCTGGAGACAGCCCAGAAGATGGATAGCCTGCTGTGTGCTGGGCCTCCTCCCTGGCTGCAAGAGGCACAAGAAACCAGGAGGCAATACCCTCACCTCTCCCAATCCATACTGCACATAGCAGCCACGGTGAACCTTCTAGAAGACAAATTATACCATGGTACTGTGCTCTTAAGCCTTCCATGGCATCCCGTAGTCTTAAAGCCCTGTTCCCTTAATATGATCTACTAGACCTTGTCTGGTCCTAACACTTGTGACTAATGATTGTGTCCTTATTTGCTGGCTTTTTATTCTATAAGCTCCCAGTGATCATCTCTGTATTCCTAACATTGATCTGCCATACAGTAGAAGCTTGAAACAAATGTTTGTGAAATGACTGAATGAGAAGTTGGTGCCTCCTTCCTCCCATCCCTCCCTCATGCTCCCTGCCATTGAAGAGGCCCAGAAGTGCCTTGAAATTCAGCACAAAGGGGCCAGCAGCCCTCCCCGTACCATGCTGAGCCTCCGTGCTGCTCATCACCTGATTTGCTCTGATTCATTCCTGTGCCCACCCGTCTGTGCTGATCTTCTTTTGTTTTTCATTCAGGCCTTGGAGACCTTGGACAACGGCAAGCCCTACATCATCTCCTACCTGGTGGATTTGGACATGGTCCTCAAGTGCCTGCGGTATGGGCTCAGGCTTCCGGCTGTTTGTTGTGGCTGTGCCAGTGAGGGGGGTGGGGTGGGGGGGGTGAGTGGGTGGGGAGTGTTGCTGCAGGGCTGTGAAAGGCTCACAGGAGCTGGGAGAACGTAGTGAGACTATCTCAGGGGGAACCACCCCTCCGTACCAAAACTGTAATTGAGTCGTCCATGTCTTCTCTTTCAGTTTTGGTAATTCATGGGTTAGCTGAAGTTTGTCCCTTTCTTTGAGGTTATCTGATTTGTTGGCTATAGTGGCACATCACATTCTCCCATAATCATTTCTATCTCGTTTTTTATAATCATCATGTCCCCACTTCCAGTTCTGATTTTAGTTACTTGTGCTTCTCTCTTTTTCTTTTTAAATGTTATTTATTCAGTTGGCTGTGCTACATCTTCGTTGTGGCATTCAGGATCTTTAGTTGTGGCATGTGGGATCTAGTTCCCCAGCCCGGGAGCAAACCTGGCTGTTGGGAGGTCTTAGCCTCCCGACATTTGGAGTGCGGAGTCAGCCTCTGGGCCACCAGAGAAGTCCCTCCCTTTTTTCCTTAGTCTAGCGAAAGGTCTGTCAGTTTAGTGACCGTTTCAAAGAAGCAGCTTTTGAATTTGTTGATTCTGTTGTTTTTCTGTTTTTCATTTCATCTATCTCTGTTCTCCATTATTTGCTTCCTTCTTGCTAGCTTTGGGTTTAACCACAAACATTTTAATAACTGAGAAATACAAGATGAGGACTAAGAGGTTTCAGGCTAACTTGGGCAGCTAGAGAGAGTGAGGGGTCTTAAACCAACAAGGCCATTGGTTCTCACTGCTGCCTCCTTGCTGCGTTCTTCTCTTGAACGACTACCCCAGCCTCTTTAGGGCCTGTCTGCATGGTGGAACCTGGCTGCCCACACCCGGGCTTTCTTCTCTGTGCTTGATTCCAGCCAGACTGACCTCAGCCCCTTAGTCCTCGTGCCAGATCCCTGGAGGAGCGGCCCTGATTGAGTCTGACCAGCTGTGGTTCAGGTGGACCGGTCATTATACAGATAATGGCTGCTGCCTCGTGCCCATGTGGACAGGGGTGGAGGGGAAGAAGCAGTGTCAGAGACATACGGGCTGGAGAACAAAACAGTGGTCCTCTCTCGTGACAGGGGTTCTCAGCCGGGGCCGCTGTGTCTCCCAGGGGCCGGTGGGTAACGTCTGGAGGTATTTTTGGTTGTCACAACTGGGAGGGAGGGGTGCTACTTGGCATCTCATGCATAGAGGCCAGGGATGCTTTAAAAATCCTAGAGGGTGCAGGACAGCTCCCACAGCGAAGAATTTGCCAGCCCCAAATGACAGGTGTGCTCTGCAAGAACAGTCAAGAGGGAGTGGCCGGTTGAACCTCAGGCAGAGCGCCAGGCCCTCCTGAGTCTGAGCAGTATACTTCTGTGCTGACTGAACATCTGTCCTGAGGCAAGCAGACACACACAATATAGGCCTAAGAGGAAGGGAGCAGCGGTGCCTTAATTTGTACAGACTGGTAAAATAACTCCCTGGCTATTTTTTTCCCCAGGGTCACATACCCATGTTCACACCCAGCTCAACTCTGGTCTTGGGCTAACTTCAGCAGACATGTTCATTTCTGAAATCTCTTTTTCACACCGCGTGTTGCATCCCTCCCCCTCTTTCATTTTCCTGCTTCCCTGAAAATCATCACGTACTATACACGCATGGCTCTTCCTCCCCTCGACTGGCCTTTTCACCATCGGTGTCCCTGTGTCCGGACGGTAACTCAGTCACTGGTTTGTTTCTGGTCACTGCTCCCTCACTGGTAGTACGGTGTTGTGCACACAAGCGCCAGCTGTTAGATGGGTTTGCACTTTCACACTAGAGTGGAGCCATGGTTCTCAGATGATAACCTATGGTGCTGCACTGGTAAGACGGTCACAGTTTAATATATCTGTTTATTAAAAATACTGACTCCTGGGCATAGGCCCCAGAGAGTCAGCTGAATAAGTCTGAAGTGGGTACCTAGAATTTGGTGCTTTTTTACGAGCACCCCAGGTGAGTCTGAGGCTTTGAGGTTAGTTATCTAGAATGAATTACTGAGACCCTAGTGGTTAGCTAACTCTCTTTGGAAATAAAGCCAAGAGCAAGGGCAGTTATTAGAAAGACCCAGCTGGACCAGCCTGAGTGTTTGCTTTCTGCCAGGGTTTACAGGGGTCCCTGACAGTCACTGATTAAGTTGTGACTTGACTTTTCTTTTTTTTTTTTTAAGTTACTATGCTGGCTGGGCTGACAAGTACCACGGGAAAACCATTCCCATCGACGGGGACTACTTCAGCTACACCCGCCATGAACCTGTGGGAGTGTGTGGGCAGATCATCCCAGTGAGTCTTAGACTCAAAACACACACGTGAGGGTTTGTCAGGAGTGCTGTGGGAGGTAGCAGTCTCGGGCAGGTTCATTGCCAAGGTGGGAAGGTCTGTGGGGTGATGTTGGGTGGTGGTCTGGGCAGTGGATGAAAATATGGGTTTTAACAAAGCCAGTCAGCACTGCCGTGTGTGAACTCTGTGACCCTGGGCAAGTCACTGATACCCCTAGGAACTGATTTCCTTATCTGAAAAGTGGAAGTGAGAGTAGATGGTAAAAGCATCAATGAACATGAGTCACTAATCCTGTCGCCCACCACCTGCCTGTCCGTCTGTTTTACATCTGTAGTTGAGTTGTGAGGGGAACAGGAGAGGTTCAGAGAATCTCTGCTCTCTGGCTGCGACTTTCTGCAGCTGCTGTAGCTCTTGGCTGAGATTTTGGCAATGGCTGTTGTTGACTGCAGTGGAACTTCCCGCTCTTGATGCAAGCATGGAAACTGGGCCCAGCTTTGGCGACGGGAAACGTGGTTGTGATGAAGGTGGCTGAGCAGACTCCACTCACTGCCCTCTATGTGGCCAACCTGATTAAGGAGGTGCGTGGCTTGTGTCCGTCTTGACCTCTAAATGCCTTTTTAAAGGCTTGTTCTATAGGAGTTCTGATGAGGGGCCCCCTGGTGGGGCCGGGTATTTGTAGCTCAGGGCCTGACCCCCTTTGCCTCTGCTCGTCACACTTCAGCCTAGGTGACCCCCCATCACCTCTTTTCTATGTTGGGTTTCATTGCCAGACCCGTTTTCATTAGAAAAGACTCCAATCCTGGGAACGATTGAAGGCAAAAAGGAGAAGAGGGCAGTAGAGGAGGAAATGATTCCCTAGCATCACCGACTCAATGAACATGAATTTGAGCAACCTCTAGATGGTGAAGGACAGGGAAGCCTGGCGTACTGCAGTCCATGGGCTGAGTGACTGAACAGCCACCCCTATGAAGATGATCATTCTGAGTGCCGTGGGGGGAGGGGCAACAGCCATAGGGAATCCCACAAAACAGGTTCCTCGGTGTACCATCTAGAACTCCTGAGCAGCACCCAGTAAGACTGCTTACCTGGGCGCTGGGCCGACTGCCTCAGCCTCTCTGGGAAGGGATGCGTATTCCTCAGTCTGGACTCTGTGGAGCAGAATGACTCCAGTGTCCCTGGTGTTTTTTTCACAGGCTGGCTTTCCTCCTGGTGTGGTCAATATTATTCCTGGATTTGGCCCCACAGCCGGAGCTGCCATCGCCTCCCATGAGGACGTGGACAAAGTGGCTTTCACCGGCTCCACTGAGGTAAGGCATCCCAGCACCTCAGGCTTGTGGTGCATTTGGCTCAAGCGCCCTTGTCCTCAGAGGATGGTGAGTTCAAGATCGGCCTCTGGGGGAATTTCCTGGTGGGCCAGTGGTTAGGACCTGGCACTTTTCACTGCTGTGGCTCGGGGTTCAGTTCCTGGTTGGGGAACTAAGATCCTGAAAGTGGTGCAATCAAAACAAAAAATAATAATAAAATAAGGTTAGCCTCTGGGCACTGCAGGGGGTTTGCCCCAGGACTGTCTTTGAGTAGCTTGTGCGAGGGGCCCAGGTGTACCAGCAGTGACCATTAGGGAGGAGCCCTCTGTAGACTGGTTGACACTCCAGCTGCTGTGGGGCCAGGGGGACGGGTTGACATCCCATGTGGGATAAAGAAGCCAAGGCTGTCTAGACTTCTAAAGCCCAGAGCTGCCGGCCTGCCCAAGGTCAAAGTACCTGGGCTGTGTCGGGCTCTTTGACTGGCGCTGTCCTAGTGATTAAAGAGTGGGCTTCAGGGAGACATTTGAGTTCAAATCCCAGCCTTGTCATTATGACCTGGGGTGATTCACTGCATGTCTTTGGGGGCTCCATTCATTTGTGTTTAGACTGAGGATGGTAGTGTCTATGCAGTAGAGAGGTAGGTGTAGTGCTCTGCTGTAGTGGCAGAGATGATTGGAGTCAAACTAAGTGTTTCAGCAGCACTTACTTAGCTATGTGACCTTAGGCAAGTCAGCCTCCTGAAGCCTCCATTTCCCCATCTGTAAAATGGGGATAATAACTGCCCACCTCCCAGGGTTGGCGTGAGTGAGATACAGCTTATTCAGCAAAGGTCTACCCCAGAGTAATTACTCGGTGAGTGAATGAATGAGTGAGTGCTGCTCTGGGCCAGGCCCTGGAGAGACAAGGATGTATAAGATGTCTGGGGATTCCTTAAACATAATTACCTCGGGTGCAGGGACAAAACTCATTCTAAAGAAGTAACCTGAATTCTTGGAAGGCTTTATCCCATGACTTTAGAGAAGGTACACTGAATAGCACAATAAACGGGATCTTCAAAATGATTCCCCTGAGATGGAGATACCTTCAAACGTTCAGTCTGTACGGAGAGATGGTGGTTGTGGGAGGGCAGAATGGTGGCTGAGGTGACACGGTTCACTCTTTCTGGGGTTAGTCACCACCTAAATCAACGCCTCAAGGGGATATTGAGAATCTGGCAGAGGGGATGGTTTCCCGACCAAGATAATGTGTGTTCACCCAACAGATAAGCACAGGGGTGTCTTTGTGCCAGGCTTTGGAATATGGAGGTGAAAAGCATCCCATCCTTGCTGTGTGGGGGGGATACCATTTGGAACACTGTGAGGAGGAAGCAGGATGGCAAGTCTGAACTGGTGCTGGACGCAGTTTGTCCAATGTGAATTCTGATTCTAGGTTTACTGTGGGCAAGTGACTTGACCACTCTGAGCTGCCACTCCCACATTTCTAAGTGAAGAAGGAGAGTCGGCCCTCCCCCGGAGATTGTTTAGAGGGTTGACCTCAATGCTCACGAAGCACTTGGCACAGTGTCTGGTGTGCAGATGGTGCTCAGGAGGCAGAAACACGGCAGTGACTCTGACTCTGCTCGTTGTCACGACATCGCCATCATCCTGGGAGCTTAGAGGGTGGGGCTGCATGTGAGTGAGTGGCCAGATGTGGCGAAATTCTCCAGGTCTCTTCTAATCCAGCTGCTCCCTCAAGCTGTGGGGACTTCTGTTCTGTGCCTATGAGAATGTTTGGCTCTTTTCTTCTCCACTAAGAGCTTGTCCCTGTTTATGCATCCCTGCAGGTTGGCCACCTAATCCAGGTTGCTGCGGGGAAGAGTAACCTCAAAAGAGTGACCCTGGAGCTAGGAGGAAAGAGTCCCAATATCATCATGTCAGATGCTGATAGTAAGGTTTTTTTGGGGGGGTGGGGAGGCAGAGGTCTGATATCAACCCACCACTAGCTGTGTCTCCTGTCGTCCCACTCAGCTCTGCAATCCTTATCATCCATTGGATTGGTTTCTGCCCCCAGGGCCTCAGGATGAAAGTGAGACTCCTCAGCGTGGCCCTCCGGCCTGTGTGGCCGTGGCCTGTCCCCCGCCTTTCTCCTCTCTGCTGTCTGTAATCCAGCCAGGCCGAGCTACTGACTCGCCCAGCTGTGCAGCCTGCCGTCAGATCAGGCTACTTTCCCTCCATCACGTCCTCTTTCCTGGTCCTGTTGAGATGCTCCTAGATTTGTCTGCTTTGAGGGAGTCCTCCCTGATGGTCACGGGCCAGCTGACTTGCCCTTGGCTTCATGACCGTAGCGGGTTGGGACCCCTGCTCCTCGTGTCTGTCTGCCACTTGGTCTCCATGCTTGGCGACGGGTAAGGTCAGACCTGTCTCGTCCCCACTCGGGCTCTGACACCCAGTGGGCATGAGTGCTGTTGGCAGTGTTAATAGGCAGCAGCCGCCACAGGGGCCAGGCTTCGCCTCTCCTCTGACTGCGGTTGCCCTCTGCCTCTCCAGTGGACTGGGCCGTGGAGCAGGCCCACTTCGCCCTGTTCTTCAACCAGGGCCAGTGCTGCTGTGCCGGCTCACGGACCTTTGTGCAGGAGGACATTTACGCCGAGTTTGTGGAGAGGAGTGTTGCCCGGGCCAAGGCTCGTGTGGTTGGGAACCCCTTTGACAGCCGGACTGAGCAGGGGCCGCAGGTAAGCTCGGTGGTTGCACTCAGGTCTCAAGTGTTGGAGCTGCCGTGGAGAAGCAGAAAGGGCCTTGGACTCTTGGGTCAGGCAGGCCCGGCTCCAAGGCTTAGCTCCGCCAGGCACCAGCTGTGTGCCCGTGGGAAGCCACCTGCCGTCTCGGAGCCACCAGTGTCTCACCCGTAATGCCTACCCTTCCACACTCCCAGAGTGGCTGTGAAGTGGAAACTAACAGTAGAAAGTTACATTTACACTTACCCTTTGTAAGTTACACACACATAATAAATACAAGGAGTGTCTATGGGAAAGGGAACATGTGTTTCCTGGACCTCGGCCATCCATAAAAATGCCTTGACCAGAAAGACACATGCATACCTGTTCATTGCAGCTGCCTCTGGGAGGCGAGCAGAAGGCCATGGTATAGGTAGCAGAGGGACTTGATTTCACTTTATACTCTTCTGAGCTGTTTGACTGAAAATTTAAGGAAAAAAAAACATTTTTTTTTTACCACGAGCATGTATTCATTTTAATTAACAGTCAATAAAAATTACAGTAAGAAACATAGCAGTACCTCTCCCCACCACCTCCTCTCATATCCTGGTCCTTTTCCCAGCACTGTCCTTAGACCCAGTCTGTCCTGGGCTCACTCTCCACAGGACCCCATGCTGGCCACCTCCCGCCACCTCCTCCCAGGGAGGAGGAGCCACAGGGTCAGGAATCAGGGATGCTTGCCCCAACAAGTCCCTTGTGTGCAGCCCTGAACCCACTTCTAGGGCCCCCAAGGGCATCTCTGTGGGCTTCACCGTCCTGGGGGCACTTGTGTCCACTCCCCAGTATCTGGGGCCAGCCAAGGCAGCCCTTTTTTTTTTGTTTAACAGATTCTGTTTTTTAGAAAAATGAGCAGAAAGTACAGAATTCCCATAAACCCCGAACCTTTCCACTCCCTAGTTTCTCCTGTTTTTAACATCTTGCCCTGGTGTGATACATTTGTTGTATTATTAACTAAAGTTCATAGCTTGCATTAGAGTTCACTCATGGTGGTGTACATTCTGTGGGTTTTGACAAATGAATCAAGACATATATCTACCATTACAGCATCCCTTTTCCTCTCATTTTTCTTTGTGGTTTGTGGCTATTTAATTATTCAGGTAATACAGATTTGTATTAAAAACTTCATAAAAAAGAGTTTAAAGTAAAAAGTAAGATTCCCCTTTTCCCCTCCATGTCCATTCCCCGTAGGTAACCAAACACATTCACACACCCACACAGTTACATTTTGGTATGTTAACAAAAGTTGGAATATATAATATATATCATTCTATAAGCTTTCTCCCCTTTAAGAAATCTCTTAGGCTATCTTTCTGTGTTAGTTGACTGATCTGTTGTTAATGATGATACAATATATGGATATACCATAAATATATTAACCAGCTCCTCTACTGATGTATACTTAGAATTGTTTCTGCTTTTTGCTTTTATAAGATGTTCCCCAGTGACTATCCTTGTTCAGGTCCCTTTGTCAAATGTAGCATAAATTCCTAGAAGTTAAATAGCTGGGTCAAAGGATATGAACATCTAATTTTTTTGCCTAATTTTTAAGACACTTGCCCAAAGAGCTATACCAGCTTATGGTCCTTTTTTTCCTTTCTAACTTGAGGTATAATTGACCTGTTTTATCAGTTCTTCTAACAGTATATGAATATTTCAGAGTATTTTTACCATCAATGTATTTTCATACTAGTTAAAATGTTTAGTAATCTCATACTTGAAAAACAAAAATGGTAGGCTTAATATTGGAGAAGGCAATGGCAACCCACTCCATTACTCTTGCCTGGAAGATCCCATGGATGGAGGAGCATGGTAGGCTGCAGTCCATGGGGTCGCTAACAGTCAGACATGACTGAGCGACTTCACTTTCACTTTTCACTTTCACGCAGTGGAGAAGGAAATGGCAACCCACTCGTGTTCTTGCCTGGAGAATCCCAGGGACGGGGGAGCCTGGTGGGCTGCCGTCTGTGGGGTTGCACAGAGTTGGACACGACTGAAGCGACTTAGCAGCAGCAGCAGGCTTAATATTTACTTCTGTGAGGGCTAATGAGTTTGGTGGCATCTATTCTTAGGCTTTTGGCCTTGCTTATTCATGATCTGGGCTTGCCAGGTGGCGCTAATGGTAAAGAACCCACCTGCCAATGCAGGAGACATGAGATGTGGGTTTGATCCCTGGGTCGGGAAGATCCCCTAGTGGAGGGCATGGTAACCCACTCCAGTATTCTTGCCTGGAAAATCCCATGGACAGAGGAGCCTTGTGGGCTACAATTCATGGGGTTGCAAAGAGTTGGACACGACCGAAGTGACTTGAGTGTGGCGCATTCATGATCTGGCCCATTTCCTAGGTGTCTCCTTGCCTGTGTGGTTCTAAGACTGAAGCTAGGAGATGTCTGGCTGTAGCATCTGTATAACTCTGGGCTCCTTCTCCCTCAGGTGGATGAAACGCAGTTTAAGAAGGTCCTTGGCTATATCAAATCTGGGAAGGAGGAGGGGGCGAAGCTGCTCTGTGGTGGGGGGGCGGCTGCCGACCGTGGCTACTTCATCCAGCCCACCGTGTTTGGAGATGTGCAAGATGGCATGACCATCGCAAAGGAGGAGGTCAGTACGGGTCCAGCGCTTGAGGGAATGTTCTTAGGAGGAGAAGTGGACAGTTCAGTCCAGCATCTTGACCCGTGACCCATCCGCTGACCTTGAGTCAAATCCTGGCTCAGTGCATAACACAGACCGTTTGCAATTCACTTCTGACCTTGTGCTTCTCTTCAGTCTCTCGTGGCTGCCGGCAGTTGGGGGGAGTATCTGAATTCCCTGGCTGAGCCTACAGGTCCTGTGTGTGTTCTGGTCCCTGTGAGCGGTGACTCAAGGCATGACTCTTCCTGGCCCTTCTCATGGCCTTCATGTAAGCAGGACACTGGGCTAGGTCAGAAGCCGGACTTCCCCGCATGGCTAGAGTCCCTTGATCTTCTCCTCCTTGGTACTGATTATGAACATAGGGCAGCAACTGTCTCATTCTTTTGTTTCACAAATCATTTCTGAATGCCTACTGTGTGCCAGATGCTCTACAGACGCTGGAGCGCCGGGGGTATCCAGTACCTGTACCCTGCCCTTGTGGCGTTCAGGCTCACTCCACCTCCCCTGGGAGGATGAAGCCCTTTAGTGGCCTTACACAGGGAAAATATTACACTGCCACCCTCTTCCATTGATAACTTAAAAAAAAAAAAAGAGCAAAAATCAGGATACAAAAGTACAACAAAGTTCTGCCTCGCTTCTCCATCATGACTACTTTGATCCTTTTTTTTTCATTCTCAACGGAAATGGAAAATATTCATTTTCTAAGGAGGGCAGGGGTCCCTTTGCTTTGCTAGTGCCCTAAGTGCGTGATGGCCTGTCTCCTGCGCCAGCTATGAGACGGGCTCCTGGCGCTTTTCTCACCTCCCTCTTGACACTCTACCCAGTCCTGGGATCAGCCGTTTCTTCACAAAGTCCTACTTCCTTTTAGTGGCAAGTGGATTTTTTAAGAATGGGCGCTGGTGCCTGGAACTCCATTTTCCTCCTCCCTGCTCCTCCCCCCGACTCTGGCTTAGCCAGTTTCTGCTCCTGTGGTGTCCCAGCTTGATTATCACCTCTCGGGGCCTTTCCTGACCTCCCGCCTCCCACCACTCATTCAGGCCAGGTAGCTCCTCGGAGCTCCCCCTCCGCGCGTGTCCTGGTCATAGGTCAGTCACTTGATCGCATCATGATCCGTTCCCAGGGGCTCTCCCCTGACAGGGCTGAGAGCAGCCACACCGCAACAACAAAAAGCACACCTGATTCCCATGTTGTGGTTTCTAAGTCCCATTGCCCACGTAAAAGGAAACAGGATTCCTGGAGGAAACGGCTCAGATATGACAGGGAAAGTGTAAGATAAACCTGGAACATCTTGAGATCAGAGATCCTGTTTTGTGCATAGTTAACTTCTTCATGGCTATTTCTTCAGCATCTGATGAGTGCCTGGCTGAATGACTGACTTAAGTTCTTTGAAACTAAATCTACATGTATCTTGTCAGTGCAACCCCTACCTCACAGGACTGTTTAGAAATAAGCTACGGTGTGTAAGGCCCGTGGCACGTGATAGAAGGCCACCAGCTGGCTTCCTTCCCTTGTGTTCCAGTGAGCGTGGGAGCTGTCGTCTCCCTCAGGAGCCGTCAGCACCCTCGCAGTGTGTCTGGGGGCTGCTGGAACCACCTGCTCAGTGCTGGGGAGAGCTGGGTAACACGTGGGTCTGCGTCTGCCACACCCACCCTTCGTGCTCTCTCATCCCAGATCTTTGGGCCAGTGATGCAGATTCTGAAGTTCAAGACCATGGAGGAAGTCACTGGGAGAGCCAACAATTCCAAGTACGGGCTGGCTGCAGCTGTCTTCACGACGGACTTGGACAAGGCCAATTACCTGTCCCAGGCCCTCCAGGCCGGCACGGTGTGGTAAGGCCCACAGTCCTTCACAACCCAGGCAGGGATCCCAGGCACTGCCGGGCTCAGTGCCTCCTGGGTCTGGGTGTGGGGTAGCGGGTAGAGGTTCCCCACGCCCTTCTCCAGGGGATTAAACTTCTCTCTGTCCATGATGCTGTTCTTGGACAAGCAGATGGGTGACTGGGCTCCTTACCAAGCTGTGAGGGGACCAGCACTGAGGGTCCACGTCTGTGTCACCCTGGTTTTAAAAGCTTAGCACCTATGTCACACCCACTAGGACAGCTGTAATTAAAAAAACAGAAAATACCAAGTGTTGGTTAGGATGTGGAGAAAGGAACCCTCACACATTGCTGGTGGTACTGTAAAGTGTTGCAGCCACTACAGGCAAGTCTGGCATAAGTTCCCCAGTCAGTTCGACATAGAATTATCCTAGGACCCAGTAATTCCACTCCTGGGTGTACACCCAGGAGGAAAAAAACCACACATCCACACAAAAAAGTGTATGTGAATATTCATAGACTATTCAAGATAGTGAAAAAATGGGAACAACCTAGATGTCTATCAGCTGATGAACGGATACACAGATTGTGGTTTGTTCACGTGACGGAATGTTCAGCCATAAAAAGGAACGAAGTGCTGATACCTACTCCAATGTGGATCATGTAATACTAAATGAAAGAAGCCAGACACAGAAGGTCACACGTGTGACTCCACTTATATGAAATATCCAGAACAGAGCCATACAGACAGAAAGTAGATTAGGGGCTGCTAGGGGGCCGGAGGAGTAGGGAACAGGGGAGTAACTGCTGACTGGGTTTAGGGTTTCTTTCTGGGGGATAGAAATGTTCTGGAATTAAATGGAGAGGATATAATATTGTGACTGTGTTATAAAGCACTGAATTGTACACCTGTAAGGTGGCAAGTTTTTAAATTCAGTCAAAATTTAATAGTTAAAAAAAAATTACCCTGAAAAGTTTAGCACCTACTTAGCAAAAACAATTCATTAAAATGGGAAGCTAGCATTTGCTGCACCCTGGTATTGACATGCATGTCATCAAGGACCGGACAACTTACGGCTTTGTTTCACATGGCCTGCTTTTGAACCCCTGTATGGCTAGATTTTAATAGGGTTCTCCACCTCCCCTTTTTCTAAGGTAAAATTTGCTCTACAGTTAAATTTTAGAGCAATACAGGAGGTTTGAGGAGGCAGGATACTTCATCCCTGCCCTAGCGAGTTACTCCTGAGATCTCATCTTAAATTGTAGGGTCAACTGCTATGACGTGTTTGGGGCCCAGTCGCCGTTCGGTGGCTACAAGCTGTCTGGGAGTGGCCGCGAGCTGGGGGAATACGGGCTGCAGGCGTACACCGAAGTGAAGACCGTGAGTATGGGCGCCTTCTCCGCCCTCCTCCTGTGCCGGGCTCCACCAGTGTTGACTGCAGGTTTCTTGTTTTAAGCCACGGAAGCTACCAAAGAGGGTGGAGACCCAGTCTCTGCTATGCCTTGCGAAGAATAAGTAGGGACTTTGCCACCACTGTGCTTACACAGTCCTTTGCTGGGCTTCGTCATACAACGACTCCTAGAGAGCCTGAGAAGAGGGAAGGACCCCCAGTGGAGAAAGACTGGGTCAAGGGGAGGCCGAGTGTGATCTTAACGCAGAACACAGCCCTAGCAGGTTGCTGGGATCGACCGTTTGGTCGTCGAGATGTTGGACAGTCAGGAGACCCCTTCTGCTTATTGCGCCGGCAGCACCCAGCTGAGGGGGCCTGCGGACCACAGGGAAGCATGCAGATTTAACAGCTTCTCTGCACCCCTCTCACAGGTCACGGTCAGAGTTCCTCAGAAGAACTCCTAAAGAACCACGCTGGCTTTCTTATTCATCCAGTGACGGAAGGGTCAGACGAGATCAGCTACAAGACCAAGAAAAATGACCCTTGCACACTAAAGGTCTTGAAAGAGAAACTCTGCCAGAAGAATCTCTTGGATCAAGATAGTTCCTTCCAATATATAGGCTGGGTGTGGGGCAAAGGGTATATGGAAAGGCTTTTACACTGCAGTACTGCTCCTAGCTTTCAGAGTGACTTTCCAAAGATTCAAGTATCTCATTCTGTCCATCTGACACCCTTCCTTCTGTAACTTGCCTTAACAGGGGAGGGAAAAGCCCTTGTTGACCGCTGTACTATCACTGAGAAACTCAATAAAGACTGCTGCTCTTCACTTTCTAAGTAACTCTTCCTCCATCTCAACCCAAGGAGACGTGGTCACACAGATACGTTGTCCCCTCTGTACGTGTGTCACATTGTGAACACCTACCACCCCTCCCCTCTTGGGGCAAACAGCCTCTGTAGCCTGCACGTAATTAACAGATGTCTCTGGCCTGCCCCTGTGTGGCGGGCCCGGTGCGGCACGCTGAGTCTTGACACCTCGACAGCACTCCTGGGCCCTGCCCTGACAGACGGGGAGGTGAACGGGGAAAATGGGCACTTGACACTCAAGGTTGCTTCTCAGTGTTGTAAGTTCAAAGAGAACAAGTGAGATAGATTCCTGCCGGACCAGTTTCATAAGCGATTAACCTGAAAACCAGATGTCCATTTACTCATTTTAAGTGAGGTTTGTATTTTCAGACTTTTTGAATCTTGTATCCAGAACACTGCCTGCCTTTAGTCAGGGGACCTGGCAAGTTAGTAATTAGTACTATTAGTAAATTCGAAATCTGAACATTCCTTAGTGAGCAATGAAAATGGAGCAAAAAGAACTGAATCACAGTAGTGGTTTGTGAGTGATCATGACTGGGTCACAGCTTCCTTTAAGAATTTGGGGGAGAAGTTTGATCCTTTCCTGAGAAACACACCTGTATAATTTTTGCAGACAGTGTCAGGGGAGTGGTGGAACTCGGTCGTTGACCCCTGCCTTTATTTCATTGAGGCTAAGCCACATCTTGGTAAGCGACCCCTATTCCACTAAAGACTCATTTGATATCTCTGAGTAGCACTTCACAATTTTTGTCATATATGCATATACTTGTACTATTATTTACTTTGTTAAATTGACTTTTATTTAGATAAAATTTTTGAAAAACACCTTATTTGCAGTACATAAAAAAGAACAGCATTTAACTGTCATAAATAGAAGACATGAAAAATGAAAGCAGAACAATATTACTAAATTATAAACAATGAAATACAAGTAAACTGAATCTTTAGATTATTAGGTTTACTTGTATTTAACCTTTTAGATTCTATATATTTACATATGGGCTTCCCAGGTGTTGCTAGTGGTAAAGAACCCGTCTGCCAATGCAGGAGACGTAAGAGATGCAGGTTCAATCCCTGGGTTGGAAGTTCCCCTGGAGAAGGAAATGGCAACCCACTCCAGGATTCTTGCCTGGAGAATCCCATGGACAGAGGAGCCTGGCAGGCTACAGTCCATAGCGTCACAAAGAGTCAGACACAACTGAAGTGACTTAGGACAACACATATTTATATATGTATTCAAAAACTCTTAATCATTCTATAGCTGAAATGGGTACATCTCATTGAGGTGATGATTTTATGACCAGTTGAAAGTAACAAAATGTTCCAGTTCATGTTGCTTCAAGGTGAAATGAGGTTCACTGCCAATAAAATGATTCTGTATTTTAACTTTGATGATGAGCTGCAGCAGCAACAGTCCCATGACAAATGAGTGGCAAAAGGCAAAGTTTTGAGCTCACCCCACCCTCTGCCCCCTGTTCTTCCATCTTGGCAGTCTCCTAGGCATGAGGTGGCGTGTGGTGGTGTGAGGTCAGCTGAAACCTCTCTCCCTGTTCTCACAGCACCTGGGTCTACCCAGGGGGAGAGAGGGATTAAACATAGGGACTTAACGGGAAGAGGGTGTTCTGACAGTGCCAAGGGGGATGCCTGGCCTAGCCTGGGCCCGATGCTCTTCACACGTACATACGTCCGTCATAAACAATGACTGGCAGGTTACTGAGTGCCAGGTACTGGTGACGCAGAGACAGACTACTTTCAAAAGAGATGACTATACTATGATGTAAGTGCAGGATACAATGAGAGCAATAAGGTAATGACATCATGGAAGGACGAGAAGGGCCCCCGCTGACTGCAGGCAGGGAAGAAGGCTCCCTAGAATGTACTCATGTACCTCTCACAGGTAAAAGAAGCCCAAAGGTGAGCAGTGAAGGGCTATTAAAATGATTCCACAGAGTCCTTAAATAAGTGATTCCTACTATTTTAATGTTCCATTATCCCTACAGCATGACCCTCATCCTTGAGGTTTAATATAACTTCTAACATTCCAGTCATCACAACAATATCCAAGAAGCAAGATGGTTAAAGGACAAAGAAAGGTGGGACACTTTTCCCTATAAGGCAACTTCCCAGAGGCTGCCCACAAAACTTCTATTTATATGTCCAAAGACATATAAATCTTGAGAAATCTGTATGCAGGTCAGGAAGCAACAGTTAGAACTGGACATGAACAACAGACTGGTTCCAAATAGGAAAAGGAGTATGTCAAGGCTGTATATTGTCATCCTGCTTATTTAACTTACATGCAGAGTACATCATGAGAAACGCTGGGCTGGATGAAGCACAAGCTGGAATAAAGATTGCCAGGAGAAATATCAATAACCTCAGATAGGCAGATGATACCACCGTTATGGTAGAAAGTGAAGAAGAACTAAATAGCCTCTTGATGAAAGTGAAAGAGGAGAGTGAAAAAGTTGGCTTAAAACTCAATATTCAGAAAACTAAGATCATGGCATCCAGCCCCATCACTTCATGGCAGATAGATGGGGAAACAGTGGAAACAGCAGCTGACTTTATTTTTTGGGGCTCCAAAATAACTGCAGGTGGTGACTGCAACCATGAAATTAAGACGCTGACTCCTTGACAGGAAAGTTATGACCAACCTAGACAGCATACTGAAAGCATTAAAAGACAGCATATTAAAAGCAGAGACATTACTTTGCCAACAAAGGTCCATCTAGTCAAGGCTATGGTTTTTCCAGTATTCATGTATGGATGTGAGAGTTGGACTATAAAGAAAGCTGAGCACTGAAGAATTGATGCTGTTGAACTGTGGTGTTGGAGAAGACTCTTGAGAGTCCCTTGGACTGCAAGGAGATCCAGCCAGTCCATCCTAAAGGTGATCAGTCCTCAGCGTTCATTGGAAGGACTGATGTTGATGCTGAAACTCCAGTACTTTGTCCACCTGATGCAAAGAGCTGACTCATTGGAAAAGACCCTGATGCTGGGAGGGATTGGGGGCAGGAGGAGAAGGGGACAACAGAGGATGAGATGGTTGGATGGCATCACCAAATCAATGGACATGAATTTGGGTAAACTCTGGGAGTTGGTGATGGACAGGGAGGCCTGGTGTGCTGCAGTCCATGGGGTCACAAAGAGTCGGACACGACTGAGCAACCGAACTGAACTGGACAAAGTTAAGATACATGGCCACATCTAGCTGCAAAGAAGGATAAGGAACTTCCATCTTTTTAGCTAGTCGGTGTGCCTATCTAAAACTAAAGTTCTTAATTCTAAAGAATAAAAGGAAAATGGATTTGGGAAGGCAAACAGCAATCCCTACCATGATGCGAAACAGCCCTCAAAATTTAGGGTGATGACATTCCTATGCCTAACCTTACCACCAACTCAATCCAAATCTCATGATATAGGTTAGAGTACTTCTGGGAAGATTTTCTATACACAGTGTATTACTTAGGAAGATTTTACTTGCAAGTATCAGAAAACCAAGTTCAAGTCAGTGTGAAAAAAATATGGTCCCCATATTCCAAAACTCTGAGATCTTGGCTCTGACCATGGCTTGATCCAGAAGTTCAAAAAAAGTTTCCATCTCTTGGCTCCACCTCTGCCAGGTGGGCTCCACATTTAAACTGTACCCATTTTGGTTCTGGCGGGTCTGGATTCTTAGAAGAGCCAACTGACTTCAAGAGCTCTCATCTCATACAGGGCAAGGTTCAAGTCCACTGGTTAGGAGAAGGTCCGTGTTTGCTAGCCCCAGCAAAGACTCAGGTTCATGCTAACTAGTCCAGTGGGTGTGACATCCTGCCCTTCCCTCGACCAGTGGCCAGAGCAATCAAGATGTGGTGATTCACTTCGACCTGAGTTGTAATGGTCCACCCTTGTAGCCCTGGAGGCCCTTCTAGTCCATTTGAAGCTGAGAATGAGGGATGGATCCCCAAAGAAAAGTGGTACTCTTATCTGAAGGAGAAGACATAAGACATTGGAACTGCCAACCTTTTAATATTCCAGTGCTGCTGAAAACCCTGTTGGGGTGAATTGGAGAAAATAGAGAAATGTCATGTTTCTTGCTCCAATCCCTGTGAATCAGACTCATGGTAAGAGAATCTGCTTCTTAAACTGACAAATAACAAAAGAAATGCCAGCTATTAAGAAAATGTCTATAATGTTGATTCTGACATCCTAGACCCAGTAATCTTCTTCTTTTAGTGACAGAAACCTATTAGAACACTAGGTAGCTGTCTGGAAGCAAAAACAAAGTTCTCAGGTTATGAACAACCTAATCTCTCTGGGTTTTTAGATGTGGGTCAGTCACAGGAGTATTGGGTATAAAACTGGTGTTTCTGCCTTTGGCCTTGCTCAGTGCCCAAGAGGAAATGGCTGAATAAAGGACACAAGGAACGTCCTGCAGCCCTGAGAAGGGGGCTGATATGGGGTTTTCTAAGTCTAGGTGCCACCTTGTGGTTAGTAAGTACAACTACAGCGCTATCCTCTCCAAGATCTAACAGGATAGACTTGATCAGGCTGGTGTCTTTCAAAGATAGTGTTACAGAATGAGCTTATTTACAAAGCAGAAAAGACTCACAGCAAACTCACGGTTACTAAAGGGTACTGTGTAGCACAGAGAATGTAGTCAATATCATGCAATAAACTATAATGGGAAAGAATCTAAAAAAGCATGTCTATATAACTGAATCATTTTCCTGTATACCTGAAACTAACACAACACTGTAAATTAACTACTGCTGCTGTTCATTCGCTAAGTCATGTCTGACTCTTTGCAACCTAATGGACTGTAGCCCGCCAGGCTCCTCTGTCCATGGGATTTTCTAGGCAAGAGTACTGGAGTGGGTTGCCATTTCCTACTCTAGGAGATCTTCCTGGACCAGGGATTGAACCCACATGTCTTGCATTGGCAGGCAGATTCTTTAGCACTGAGCAATACTTCAATTTTAAAAATGGTTGAAACAAAACACAAGATGGCGTTACATGCAACATGATTGTATATGAGCAATACCTAGTAGACAAATGCAATGAATCAAGAGGCGAGGGTCACATACCCAAAATAACAAAAAACAAGGGCTCCAACAAAAACTTCTTCATGAATGTTCACAGAAGTACTATTCACAACAGCCCCAAAGTGGAAATAACCTGAATGTCTATTAACAGATGAACTGAATAAACAAAATGTGGTCCATTCACATAATGAAATTTTATTTAACCACAAAAAACTAATGAACCACTAATACATGCTATTATATACATGAACCTCAAAAACATGATGCTATGTGAAAGAAGCTGGACATAAAAGGCCACATACAAAAAAAAAAAAAAAAAAGGCCACATACTGTCTGATTCTGTGTTTATGAAATGTTCAAAATAGGTAAATCCAAAGAGACAAATCAGATTGGTCACTGCTAGCAGCTAGGGAGAGAAGGAAAGTTGATGGATGATACGGGTTTCCCTTTGGGGATGATGAAAATGTCTTTGAACCAGATAGAGATGATACTTGCACAACACTGAGCACGAAATGCCACTGAACTGTTCGCTTTTAAATGGTCAGTTTTATGTTACGTGAATTTTAATCTTAATTAGAAAAAATAAATGGCCTTACCTCTGGGCCTCCATTTCCTCACAGTCCCTCCAATCATGTCCCGCTCTCATTCAGCTACTTCATGAAGAATAAAAGGTAACTGATAGTCATTGTTTTTATTAAACTTTTTCCCAAAATGAAATGAACATGGTAAAAGGATTTTTTTTTCACTGATATACACTCCTGGTTTCCAGTCTTATGGCCCCAAGAAGAAATATTTACTGTGCATCTATTGAGTGCCCCATACTACTGGTCTGGCAGCCACACTTTGAGAACCAAAGCCCAGACCTCTATCTGCTAAGTTTGTTCAAGATAACTTAGGCTTTCTATAACACACTCATCCAACTCTTTAGAACCTCTGCCCACTGCCTGGTTCCCAACCACTCCCACATTTTAGGGAGCTATTATGATAGCACCCCTCTTTCAGGCACCAACATCTGTGTTAGTTATCTATGCTGCATGACAAACTGCCCCTAACTTTAGCACTTTAAAAACATTTATTATCTCACAGTTTCTGTGGGTCAGGAATTTGGACATAGCTTAGCTGGGTGCCTCTGGTACAGAGGGCTGCAATCAAGTTGTTGGCCAAGGATGCAATCATCTCAGGGTTCAACTATGTGAGGATCCATGCTAAGCTCACTTACATGACCACTTGCCAGGCCTCAGGTTCTCACTGACAGCTGGTGAGACATGAGTTCCTCGACATGTGGGCCCCCCCATGGGCAACAGTAGTGGGCTGACTAGCATCCTCTCCCCTATTCCTGGTCACATGGAACCTCAGAATGCGGAAAGAAGGTCTCTGCAGATGCAATTATTTACGTTAAGATGAGGTCATACTAGGTTAGGGTGACCCCTAAATCCAATGACTGGTGTCCTCGGAAGAGGAAAGAACACAGGGGCACACAGAGAAGGTCATGTGAAGATCAAGGCAGAGATAAGAGGGATACACCTATAGGTCAAGGAAGGCCAAAGGACTGCTGGGAGTCACCAGCAGCTGGCAGAGATAGAAAGGACCCTTCCTAGAGTCTTCAGAGGAAGCAGGGCCCTTCTGACACCTGCAGGACTGTAGAGAATAAATTTCTGTTTTTTTAAGTCACTTAGTTTATGGTAATTTGCTATGGCAGCCCCAGGAAACTAATAAAGCTGCTCACATTTGAGCTGGCTTTCCTCAGAGCAAATGGGCAAGAGAATGGGAGAGCAAGAGAGGGGTGCCCAGGAGGGAAGCCACAGCCTTTCTGTAATCTAATCTCAGACATGACAGCCCATCATTTGAAGTGAGTCCCTAGGTCAGCCCATGAGCACAGTGAGGGGATTACACAAGACCATGAATACCAAGAGGCAGGCATCTCCGAGGGTTATCTTAGGCTGTCTACCACATTCCTTGATTTCTTCAAGAAATATTTATTAAATACCTACTGTGGGCTGGGTATTGAGGATGGAACTAATAATGAAGATAAGATTCTTTCCCTTTTTGAGAGTATTTAATCTAATGGAGGAGAGGACCCTAAAGAAAAAAAGTGGATATATAAATTAAAATTGTGATAAGTAAAAAAAAAAAAAAAAAAAAAAAAATTGTGATAAGTACAAGGAAGTGAATTATGAGGTAATACGAATGATTGATTTAGACTGAACCAAGGGTCAGACCTTGGTTGAGATGGTTGGATGGCATCACCGACACGATGGACATGAGTTTGAGCAACCTCCGAGAGCTGGTGATGGACAGAAAAGCCTGGCATGCGACCATGGGGTCACAAAGAGTTAGACGCGACTGAGCGACTGAACTGAACTGAAGGGTCAGGCCTGGGGCTTCCCAGGTGGCTCAGTGGTAAAGAATCTGCCAGTCAGTGTAGCGGATGCGGGTTTAGTCCCTGGGTTGGGAAGATCCCCTGGAGAAGGGAATGGCAACCTATTCCGGTGTTCGTGCCTGGGAAATCCCGTGGACAGAGGAGCCTGGTGGGCTACAGTCCAAGTAGTCACAAAGAATTGGGCACAACTAAGTGACTGAGCACACACACACACACACAAGAGTCAGGCCCAGTCTTTCTGATGAATTAATATTTAGAATGTGGTTAAAGAACGTGTAGAAATTGGGCTCTGTGTGCTCAGTAAGGAGAGTAAGTTTCTAGATAGAGGGATAGCATGTGCAGATGACAGATGTTGGGTTTAGCTGCGAGACTCAGAATGCATAAGGCTCAGACCTCATCTCTGCATCTCTACTATGTAGCACAGTGCCTGGCACACAGAGGTACCTGATAAATTATTACTGAAAGAACCAAAGAATCCAAGGAACCTTCTATTTCCTAACTGTTATAGATAATGTTAATCCAAGTTATTTCAAAATTTTCTCCCACAGTTCACTGCAGAATCACTTTCTTATTTATGTTACAAAGAATAGGCAAAGCTGCTATAACAAAAAGCTGTAAATACATGAAAGCTCAACATAAGAGATTTTTTTTTTCTTCTTCTCTCATATAACAATCCTGAGAGGATGCTGAGGTCAACAGGGCAGAGTTCTCTTCCACCCAGGTATCTTCCATCTTAAAGTCTTGCCTTCTCCAGAACCTGGTCATCATCTTCCTGCTGGCAGAGTGAGAACATCTGTCGACAGATGCTCCAGGCCAGGCCTGGGTATGTGCACAACTCCTTCTGCTCACTTCCCATTGCGGGAGAGCATAGACACATGGCCGTACCAACTTTATGGGGGATGGGGAGTGTCCTATAGGTGAATGGCCAACAAAGAGGACAGCTATGTCTGCACCGCAAAATATATACCATTATGTGTCTAATTCTCTGGTACACTCCTCAAGAACCTCAAATTAACCAGATAAAAAATAACTCTAGATTTCTCACTCTCATCAAGTCTTTCATTCACCGAATGGCACGACCATCTACGCAAGTTGCATAAGGTGGTCTCCTAAAAGTTATTCTTTTTTTTAAAGTATTTATTGTTATTGCTTTTATTTGGCTGCCCTGGGTCTTAGTTGCCACATGTGGGATCTAGTTCTCTGGCCAGGGGCTGAACTCAGGCCCACTGTATTGGGAGTTCAGAGTCTTAGCTACTAGATCACTAGGGAAGTCCTGAAAATTATTCTTGATTTGTTTCTTATTCTCATTTTCCACATGGAGTTCTTCAGGAAGTCCTTTCAACTGCACCTCCACAACAACATAAACCAATCTACTTTATCTTTATGGCCACCGTCTTAGTTCAAGCATCATAATAATCTGGGCTATTCCAACAGCCTCTTAATAACTGTCCATGTCTCCACTTTCACTTGCCCATATTTAATTCTCCATACAGTAGAGTCTTATCCTTAAAAACATAAATTTGATCAGATCCCTCTTTAGTTTAAAACCTTCCAGTGGCTTAGAATAAAATCCAAAGTTCTCACCATGACCGCTAAAGGTCCCTAACCTTCTGGGCACCAGGAACCACTTTCTAGGAAATATCTCTACGGACCAGGGTAGGGGAGAGGGGATGGTTTCGGGATGATTCAAACACATTACATTTACTGTGAGCTTTGTTTCTATTATTGTATCAGCTCCACCTCAGATCAGGCACCAGATTCCAGAGGTTGGGGACTGCTGGTGTAGATGATACCACCCTTTTCACCTTTCCAACCTCATCCTTTACCACCTTCTCCTACTCTCCCTGCTCCAGCTACAATGGTCGTGCTGCTTCTTGACCACATTTACCTAGCTTATACTTTAAGACTTTTACAACTGCTGCTCCATCTGCCCAGAAAGCGACCTGGATCTCCAGTAGACAGTTCCTTCTCATTTATCAGAGGTCTCAGCATCAGGGTTGCCACCTGGGAGACCTCTCCTGATCCTCTACTTGAAAAGTCCACACACCCAGTTAATTTTCTTACCTCAGCATTCTGTTTACTTTCTTAGGATCCGAAAACCGTGCTTCTCTTTCTTTCTTTCTTTTTTTTTTTTTTTTTCGTGCTTCTCTTTCTTTACTTTCTGTTTCTCTCTCCAAAAAAAAAAAAAAAGGATTCATGAGCAGGTACTGTGTCTTTTTTCTACTTTTTCCCCAGGGTCGAGTAGGCCTGGCACACAGCGGTGCTTAGTAAATAAGTGAAGAATGAAGAACCATCAAGAGGTGATTAACCAAATGCTCCTGCAAGGTTCTTTGATAGGCTGTTGGTATAGCCTGGCTTCTCCACCCCACTTCCCCACCCTTTACTCAAGAGAAGTTTGGCAGAAGAGCAGCCGCATCTGGGGAGGCCCCCTCTCCCCCACGGAGCTATGGGAGCCTGAACTTGCTGGCTACTCCACTTTCCGAAAGGGAGATACCCAGTTAAATGCCGACACAACGACGAAGAGCTGAGCGAGCGAGCCTTGGGATCAGAGATCTGGGGGGACCCTGCGACAGAGCTGGTTCAAGGGCCCCCAGGCCGACCCCCTGAGCTGTAGGCTGCTCCTCGCTGCCAGGGCCTGGGGGCTGCAGGGAGGGAGGGCCTGCACCCCAGTTCAGCATTTGGTCCGCAGATGGGATGCTGAGAGGCAAAGACTTTAGCATCCGGCTTTCATTGATTACTTGTTTTCTCGAGTCAGGCATTAAAAAAAAAGAAAGAAAGAAAAAAAAAAAGGTCATCTGTGTTGGTAAGAGTAAGGAGCACAAACCTGCGTTCCAGTTACTACTTGACCACTTCTCAGCTGTCCGCAGCTGTGCGCAAATGAGTTTCGCTCTCTGACAGCCTCAGTTTCCTCACCTGTTAACAGGGACAAGAACACACTTAGCTCAAAGGGCCAAATGCTTGCTTTATAAAGAGGAGAGAAACTAACGGAAGAAAAGAGCCTCACGTAAAGTGAACGCACCGTATATACATAACGGTTATCGCTATTATTATAAATATAACTCTTGTTACCGCCTGACCCGCCCGGAGCCTCAGTTTCCGCGCCTCCATCACTAGTCGTTTATCTCCCAATCCTTCCGTAGGGTAGTTCCCGCGCCAGAACTCTGTCCGCGGCGCTGGGACAAACTAGTTTGTAGTGCCACCCGCGGGCACTAGAGTCAGCCGGTGAGGGCCCGTAGCCCCGCCCCGACGGCCCCTGACCCCTTACGTCATCAGCTCGGCGCCAGCGATGCGGAGGGCCCCGGGGCCTGTCCTGGGTGTGGCGCCACCTTGGGGAGGCCTTGGCGGACGCCTGCAAGTCGACTACTTGGTTCGGGGGCGGCTCGGAAACCCCAGCGGACCGCGGCGAGGGGCGCGTGGAGCCGTGGGGACACGAAGTCGGGCGACAGGAGGGGCGGCCCAGAGCTCAGGCGGGGCACAGCGCCGGCAGGCGGGCGGCCGGCCGGGCTGCCCGGCGCGGGTGTCCCGGCGATGTGTGGCGCTGAAGCGGCGGCGGGTGCAGCAGCAGCGGCGGCGGGCTCGGCCTCGGCTTCGCGGCGGTGCCGGCGGCGGAGGCGGAGGCGCAGGCTCCTCCTCAGGACCTGGCGAACCCGGGCCTAAGCAGCGGCCCCGCCAGGCCCCGACACAGCGCCCCTGATCGGGGCCTTCCCCGCCTCGCCCTGCCCCGGGAGCCTGCCTCCCCGGCCGGGGATGAGGCCGGGAGGCGGCCGCGCGGGGCCCAGCACAAAGACTTGTTCCCGGGGGCCGCTGCTGCCGCGGCCGCCAGCCTAGAGCCGCCTGCCGAAGCCGAGCCGGCGCCGGGGCCCTCGTCCCCGCAGGTCCCAGGGGGCGGCTGCTGGCCATCTCCCCGAGACCCAGGGCCCCGAGCGCTGAGCCCCTTGTTCCCTCGGCTGCGGTGGGATCGGGCAGCTGCTCAACCTCCGCTGCTCCCGGCCTTGCGGGCCCTGCGGAGCATGTCGGAGGAGAGCGATATGGAGAAAGCCATCAAGGTAAGTTGGGGGAGATGCCTCCCCGCTTTGTCTCTTTGGCATTCCTCTCGGCTGCAGCCTCAGAAAGCGGAGAGAACTTAGAGATTCCAGCAACTCCTGGTTTCAGTTTTCCCTGGGTTCCGTGGACTGCGTTTTACAGCGCTGGGGGCAAAGGGTTTGTGGAAGGGGCGGGGGAGGGACGTCCAACTTACCTGCTTAAAGCGGGGATGTGATTTGTATTTCCCTAGAATGGAGGATAAGTGGAGTGGAGAGATACTTGATACAAGTAGCACGTAGGGGGCCCTGCTACTCTATTAGATCAGTCCTTAGTACCATCAGAATTTATTTTCAGGTGATCTGCTGCAACAGCACTTGGAGAGTTGGATCTTACCCCTCGCTCCAGATTTGTTTGAAATCTGGTTTCTGCAGGAGGTGCTTCACCTTACACAACCAGCCCTTTGGCAGATAGGTTGTTTTCACTTTTCCGTGTGGTCCCTCCCCCTTTCCTGTTTCCTTTTCCTTCTTCTCCTGGGGAGTGTTGAGTTTACTTAGGAGGAGCTAATGGTGTCCTGTACTGCTCTGTTAACCGGAAAAAAAAAAAAAAAAAAAAGCAAATATGTGTGTTACAAAGTGGCTCAAATAAAATGACACATTTTGAAAAAAAAAAACAAACCCTGCTTTTTACTTTTTTTAAAACAGGCAAACATTGAGGCATTAAGTCACTAGGAGTCAGAAAGTTACCATTCAGCTGTACTGAGGAATTAAGTTTCTTATGTTAATTGAACACTGGAGCTTAAAGTTTGATATGTATTACTTACTTATTTTACAGTATTAAGTCAAATCTGTGCATTTAGGAATTTCATTTTCCCTTGAGGGATAGGCAACTGGGGGTTATTTTCCCCATCAAGACACAATCACTACTACCAATAATTAAGAACTTCCACTTCTAACAATTTTGGGGGTTACAAAGTTTATAGAAGTCATCATTCATTTCAAAGAAAATTCACCTTTTAAAGGAGGCATCAAGACAGAACATTTACATTGAGAAAGATCAGATTTTAAATGACAGAATTAAAGGATCCAAAAGACTGCTTAGATAGATACATTTTTTTTTTCTTTTGGTTTGGATTTCATTGGTACAGCATCATGAATTGCCTAAAGTTATATGATTGGGTTGTGAATCAAAATACATTTGGCAGGTTTTTAAATTCAACTGGCATTATTTGCTTTGTGCAAGGTGTTGTCTTGGGCACTTGTGATGCAACGCCAAGGGCCCTAGATGTCCCTCTTTCATAAATCTTCTGTCTAGATGGTGGAGTTAGTTAATAAACATTGTCAGATGATTATAATTAAAAGACACAGTTCGATCCCTGGGTTGGGAAGATCTGGAGGAGGAAATGGCAAGCCACTGCAGTATTCTTGCCTAGGAAATCCCATGGACAGAGGAGCCTAGTGGGCTACAGTTGATGGAGTTGTGAAAGAGTTGGACACAACTTAGTGACTGAGCACACATTTAAAAAGGTGGAGAGTGCTATTTTAGGAAGGGTAGGCAGGGAAGGCCTTCCTGAGGAGGTGACGTTTGTTTCCAGCTTTGAAGGGAATGAGGGAGCAAACCTCCATTGTCTTGGGGAAAAATATAGGCAGTGGGAACAGAAGACACAAAGGCCCTGAGGTAGGTGCAGGTCTCCTGTGACCCAGGAACAACAGGGTGACTGGAATGCAGTGGGTCAGTATAGATTATGTTGGAGCCAGGTAACCGGAAGCCAAAGTACATCGGGCCTTTAGGCCATTGCAAGAACTTTGGCTTGACCCCGAGTAGAAGGGGAAATCTGAGAGAGTTTTGGGCAGAAGAGGTACATAGTTCTAGTGGGCAAATATGTAAATGGGGAAGCAGTGTTATTTAGTGGTTATAGTAGTTTCTCCAGGTTGATTCATGAGTTGAAATCTCAGCCTGGCTGAGATTCATTTAGCTGTGTCCTTGAATAAGTCACTTTACTTCTCTGTCACTTAGTTTTCTCACCCATAGGAAGAGGATAAAAAATCTCCCCAGCTCAGGGTTTTTTTTTTTTTTTTTTTTTTGAGAATTTAATAAAAATGTGCTTATAATACCTAACAGAACCCAATGGATATTAGCTCATAGCAACTTAAGAATGGTTCAGAAAGAACTGTATGTAGTTTTCCTCAGTTGGTCACTATTGTCCAACCTTATTTTCTTACTTTTTTTTTAGCTTTTCTTCTTGTACTTATTAGTAGATAACTGGTAATCTTCCAATTGAATGTGTTCAACCAATACAGATTAGTGAAGTTGAAAATATCTAACAACCAGTACTGAATAGGATATACTCCTTGGAAGCAAGCCAGCATCACATCAATTAAAACTTTTGGGCTGTGGTGTTGTCTTATATTCACTGTTTCGCTTTTTTAAGGCTGTCCCTCATTTGATGAAAACTGAGACCTCTAGAGTTCAGCTGGAAAAGCTATTTTCCTGGGTTTTCACTACAACATTTAAACTTCTGCTGCCTCGTGACCTGAGCATGGGCTGACTGGACTTTAAGATCTCATCCTATTACTCTTAAATATATTAGGATAAGGCTAACTGGCTACAACCATAGGCTCTGTCTTAGTTCTGTCTCTCCTGCCATAGCCCATGACTTCACTACTCCCAGGTCACTTAACTAAACCTGGATAATGAGCGTTTGGGGATTATGGGACTAGAGATTGCCTTACATATTTGTTTTCTGTTGTATATGGCAGTTTTTAATATTTGATGACCTTAATAAAAATTTATTTCCATAGTTTTAAAAAACATTTTAAAAAATTTCAGTTATAATTCACATATGATAAAGTTCACCCAAGATAAGTGTATAATTCAGTCATTTTTAGTAACTTAAGAGTTGTGCATCTGTCCTCACTATCCACCTTTAGAATTTTTCCAACCACTCCCCACTTCCCCTGAGAGTTCATTCTGCCTCACTGTGGTCAGCCTATACACTGACTCCCTACCCTAGACAACTTTACTGATCTGCTTTCTGTCACTATTATTTTGTCTTCTCTAGAAATTCCAAATAATTGAAATTATATACATGTAGTCTTATGTATTTGACTTCTTTTATACTTTTGAGGTTCATTCATGTTAGTGTATGCATTAGTAGTACACTCCTTTTTATTCTTGAGGAATCTCTTTATGAGCACTTGGATTGTTTCCAGTTTTTAACCATTATAAATAAAATGATAAGTAAAACTTGTCCATACAAATTTTTGTGTAAAGATAATTTTTCATTTCTTCTGGGGAAATACCTAGGTGTGGAATTACTCGATAGTACAGTAACTTTTTAAGAAGCTGTAAAAATTTTCCGAAATGGAATTGTTCTAGGATCATTTGTTCAAAACATTATCTGTTCCTTGTTGAACCACCTTTGTTGGTAAATCAGTTGATCATAAGTGTATGAGTTTATTTTTTGGCTTCTCTTTTTTCCATTCTTTTGGTTTTTTTTTTTTTTTAATTCCCTTTTCTGTTTCATTGATCCATATGACTATCTGTGCCAGTGCCCCACTGATGGGATTACTGAAGCTTTATAGTAAGTTTTCAAATTGAGTAGCATGAGAACCATCTTGGTTTTCCTATTTCAAAATTAAGTTGGCTATTCAAGTTCTTTGTATTTCTAAATAAATTTTAGAATCAGCTTGTCAGTTTCTACCAAAAAAAAATGTGTGTTGGGATTTTGACAGGGATTCCGTGAATCCCACATGCAGCAACGAAGATCAAAGATTCCGTGTGCTGCAGCTAAGATCCGCTACAGCTAAATAAGTGTTAAAGAAAAAAACTGGCAGCAGAAAGGTGTGGAGATGAAGACTCTTCTCAGCTTGTTTTACACATTTACATATTCACTGGATAGAAGCTCTGTTTTCATCTCTGAACTTAGCCTGGTGTCTGGCACTTCCTAATTGCTCAGTGAGTTTGTGTTACATGGACAGATGTCCTGTTGCTATACCTGGGAGTCAGGATTCTGTTGCTAACTGTAGTCTATCAGATTTTCATTGCAACAAAACAATTTGAAAGTCTCATGAGTTTTGGCTTAACTTCTCAAGGTCTACAGTTGGTTTCCAGTACTGCCCATGGAACCCTGAAAAATAACTTTTACTCTACCACAGTTTAAATGTATGATTTCCTTGCTTTAAAACATAGCAACAGAAGCTCAGTATATAGTGTGTGCGTGCATGCTCAATTGCTTCAGTCGTGTCTGATTCTGTGACCCTATAGACTATAGCCTGCCATGCTCTCTGTCCATGGGATTCTCTAGGCAAGAATACTGGGGTGGGTTGCAGTGACTTCCTCCAGGGAGTCTTCCCAACCCAGGGATTGAAGTCGCATCTGCCTGCGTCTCCTGCATTGCAGGCAGATTCTTTACCCACTGAGCCATCTGGGAAACCCCAGTATATAGTGACTACACAGTAATTCCATAAAACTTTAAGCTGTAGAGGCTCTATATGGAACTATGGAAAGCTATTGGAATCTATTTTTTAAAAAACTATAAAGAATATAGTTACACAATGAATGTATGTCTTTGTGTTCAAAATAACACTTGAAAACCAGATAAATGTACTATATTTACTGTTATTTTATTTGAATTTAATAAGTTTCAGTTTATTCAGTTATTCCAATTTGATCATTTTGTTCAAATATATAGGCCTCTGTGGCATAGCAGCATTTGTAAGACCAGTCTTTCTAGAATCTCAGAAAATCCACTTGACCATTTGAGGAAATAAGTCCTTAGTAGTGAAACATTTTGAAAAGGTATCTTCCACACTCAAGAAGAAAAAACTACAGCTAAAACACCCCAAAACCAGAAACAAGGATTGATTCACATGGATCTTGCAGATGAGCTCAAGAATTTCTTTTCATCCTCAAGTTTTTTGCCTACTCTTTTTTTTTTTTTGCCTACTCTTGTTGGAAAACAATGCCTAGCCTAGTCATTTAGGTGAAATGTCTAATTACATAGCCCTTTACAAAGCTCTACTTATCAGCTTCTTTCAGAAGGTATCAATAAGATATTGAGCTGTTAAGCTCAACTTTTTAATTGGAGAATCATTCTCTGCCTCCTCCCTTTTTATTTTAATAGGAAAGCTCCATTTTAGAAGAATACAATATCAATTGGACTCAGAAGCTGGGAGCTGGAATTAGTGGTCCAGTTAGGTAAGAGACCCATGACAAAACTGTTCTAAAAAGGGCCATTCATAATACATATTAAGTTAGAAGCATTAGGTATTCCAGATTTGTGAAATAGCCTTAATTTAACAAGTGGGGGTATTTATGATAGGCTTTTTCTCATCCACATAGAAATACATTTAAGTGACGTGGCCTGTGACAGGACCATCTAAGATGTTGACACCAGGGAGCCACTGTGTGAGTGTGTTACCAGCAGAGGCCATGTCTCTTCCTTAACCAGCCTCAAGTTGATTTCCTGTGTCTGAGCCTGTGGAGGGCGGGCGAGGTGCCTCTTTCTGCCTTTCCATCTGCTCGCCCTAGGGGCAAGTTTGTTCTGATGTGCCTGGATATATTTTTGATTAGAAGTACAGTTCTCAAAGAACAGCTTGTTAGATTAGTTTTTACGGTAACATAGATGACTTCTGATTGAATTTTTTTCTTCCAAATCTAGAGTCTGTGTGAAGAAATCAACCCAAGAACGGTTTGCACTGAAAATTCTTTTTGATCGTCCAAAAGCTAGAAATGAGGTATGAGCCTTTATTGCCTTGACTTGCCTAGATATTTGAAGTGCCTAAGAATATATTCTTTTTACAAGTAATGCAGCTTCCTAGAGAGAATACAGAGATGCACAAAGAATTTTATGTTCATACTTGCTCTTTTTATGTTCATACTTACTTTTCCCTATTCATGTTGTTATTATAAAGCAGTCCTTCATCCATCAATACCAAAAACTGTGAGTAGAGTCTTGCTTCCTTTCAAACTACTTCTTTCTTGTTCTTTTTCAATTAATGTGATTCTTGTACTCTGAAGTAGTCAGGTTTACTTTAGCTTTTACTTATTGGAAAAGGTCCTAAAAGGGTGGAGATAGAATAGTATGAGGAAGGTTCTAGTGAATGACATATTGAAAAGGTGCTGCAGAACTCCAAAGATATGTTTCTAGTTTTTCAATAATAGGCATTTGTTTAAAATTATTTGGATGTGGTGATGACATGTTAATTATATGCAATGAAGGACTTATTCTCTTGCTTAGAGATATATGAATAATTTCTGAAATAAGATGAATTTTTCATTTGGTAATAGGACAGCAGAAAATATATCTTTTTTATTTCATGGAAAGAGCATTAAGGAGGTAATTTGTATATGAAAACATGAAAAAAAAAAAATGTCATTCCAGATGATCAGGGTTTTTACATAATAGGCTCATGCCAGGCCTAGTATGGTCACTTTTGGCAGAGGTATGGGGGGAAGTTTGGAGAGAAAATGTTGGCCTCTCCTACGTACAGAAACATTTCCTCTGTTCTTCTTTAAGGTACGTCTGCACATGATGTGTGCCATACACCCGAATATAGTTCAAATTATTGAAGTGTTTGCTAACAGTGTACAGTTTCCTCATGAGTCCAGCCCCAGGTAAGACTACACAGAGTCATTATCACCTGCTCACTTCTCCATGGGTAAGCCACGGTGTAGTGGGATCTTCTCTTTTGTGCTCTCTTTCTCTCCCCTCCCCTCCTTTCCTTCTTTCTTTTTCTTCTCTCCTTTACTTTTTATTTTGGATATTTTCAAACATTTGTAAAAGAATTATGTACTGAATCCCCAAGTGTCCATCACTTATCCTCAGCATTTATTAACTCCTTGCCAGTCTTGCTTCATCTGTACTTCACCCACTCTCCTGTCCCCGCTACCCCCGATTATATGTTACTACTTTCTCTTTTGAAAAAGTGTGTCACATGGAGTTTAAACAGATTCTATTTCAGACTAGAAAAGGGGACCAAATATTCTAGGCAGTGTCTTGAAGCTGATATGGCAAAAGGCCTTTATTGCTTAGTCTGGTGTTCCTTTTAAGGAAGAGATCAACATCATTCCTTTAGCCTCCAAATGCTTAGGAAGCCCATTGAGTGTGACACCATTGGGTGTCATTCTAAATCTTTTCCAGGGAGTTCAATACCAAGGGGACTGAGATGTAAACCTGTCTTTCTAGCAGTGTGGTAGGGACCAAGGCCAGGCATGCATAAAATATTTTGAGCTTACAAAGGAGGAAAGCTGCTGTCTGTAGCCTGGGGAGGTGAGGTGTCTTAGCGTGGTTGTTTTGGGGCTTGGACTTGAAGGAGATGTGTAGGAGTTTTCCAGGTGGAAAAATATGAATTTATAAAGAAAAATGGGAAATCAAATGATTATTTCTTAAAATTGTGCTCTGTTGGTGAAAGCATTTGGATGGAAGGTGGAAGCATTTATATCAACGAATGGTAACCAAAATTCAGATTTTTTTTTTTTGACAACATAAGAATTTTTGCTTTTATTTAGTAGCTGTTTAACCCTATCTGACTGTCTTGCTGGGCATGCTGTGGGTCATATGGAAAACTAGTGGAGTGGGGTGGAGAGTAGAGATGAGGGAGAGAATGTGCGTGCACACACCGCACCCCCCCTACACACACACACACACACACACACACACACACGAATAAATAACAAAGAGCCCAACCTACATAAAGTCGTATTCAATATGCTTTCAGTGTAGCTTCCCTAAAATATATATACACGTATAGAATCTTCAAAAGGACCATTGTCTTCAAAACTAATTCTTTTACCTTCTTTTAGCGTCTTAGAAACCTTTAGGTCAGGGATAGTCCTTATTCATAGTGTCCAGCCGGTAGTGACAGGGGATCCAACTCAAAGGGGCTGGTAGGACTAGACTTAGGACACATTTTGTAGATAAAGTATCTAGGTTAGCTACTTGATGTTTCAGTTTTTTTTTTTTTTTTAACTTAACAAAATCAAATGCTTTCAAACAGGGCCCGACTCTTAATTGTAATGGAGATGATGGAAGGGGGAGAGCTATTTCACAGAATCAGCCAGCACCGGCACTTTACAGAGAAGCAAGCCAGCCAAGTAACAAAGCAGGCAAGTTGACCCCGGGTACCAATCAAACTGCCAACAGTGTTGGTTAACAAGCACAATTTCATTGGGGGGGAATAAAAGAAAGCTTGGAGAAAAGCTCTATTTGATCTCTCATTGCCTGCTTTGTTATGTAATTAGAAAAGATGCCTTGACAGGAGGAATGTGACCCCCTTTTCTGCTTTGGGGAGGGAGCTATACTCTTCAGTGGTTGTCAATTGTTTGCTTATCATAAGATTTAAATAAACTCTGGAAGGAAGGTAATCTTAACTCCTTTTTAGATGGTACATAATCTTTAGGCATGTAGCTTTCAAGCCACTGTTATTGGACTTTGAGATAAAATGCTGCTGATACTACCTAAAAGACTGTGTGGTATGAAAACATGTTCTAAGACAATTGCATTTAAGATACTTTTTGCTTGTGAGTCACTTTTCTCATCAGATTTTAACATTATTCTAAGGTCTTTGTAATTCTGGGGGTATTCCTGGTTATATGTTCTTTCTATTCTGACGTCACATTTTATTGCTAGAGATATGATCTTTCCACAAACAATACTAGGAATCTGACTGGAAATAACCTCATGAAGAGATGGAAAGCCAAACCCTCAAGGTTTCTCTTTAGGCCAAGCAAGCAAAGCAGAGAAGCATGACATATGGCCTGGTTGGTTCTTAAAGAAAAATTCTTCCAAATTTTCTGTGAGCCTCAAGCATTTTTTGAGGCCTCCATTTTGGTAGGGAGGAACTGCTCTTTGGAATGCCAAGACAGTTCCATACAGAGTGTTAAAGAACAGGTGCAATCTGTTCTGTTTGATTTTTAAAAAATTATAGCTTGTGTTTTTCAAACATTAAAACTAAAGGATGAGCTCTAATAATCTATAAAACCACACCCCTTTAAAGTCACCAAAACAGGCAACATTTTCAACCAGTGGGATGAGCAGATTGGAGCATCAAGTGGAAACATCGATTCAGCTGCTTTCTGTTGTTCTTGAAGGCAGAACTTCAAGTCCTGCTCCCTGAAGAGTGCAGGTCTCTCTTGAGCCAGGCGTTAGCGCCACTGTCCCGCTAGGGGAAACGCAGGCCTGTTGAAGACTGCCTGGCCTGGTGTTTGCTCTGCAGTGCTTGTCACATCTCACATTAATGGAAGTGCAAGTATCTTGTTTTTCCCATTTAATATAGGATTTAACCATCAGTTTATTCTGACAAAGAATTATTTTTCTGTTGTATTTTTCTTTTTGTTGAACAAAATATAGGTTGCTATTAAATGAAGCTTACTTCATTTCTATTTCTTGGTATGTGAAGTCTTTCTTAATTTCTGCTGTAACACTGAAATCTGACCACAGTCTTAATTGACTTAGTAAGGGTCATTTTTTAACATCCTGAGCTTTCTAAGCCAGGGGAATTCAAGAATAGCCTCTTCTAAGATGCGGTTGCTCCATCATGTCCTTCTCCAGATAGCTCTGGCTCTGCAGCACTGTCACTTGTTGAACATCGCCCACAGAGACCTCAAGCCTGAAAATCTGCTCTTCAAGGATAACTCTTTGGTGAGATGACTTGCTTTTCTGTATTTCAGTGTCGCTACTTCCAACATAGTTCAGGAGTGATGCATAGGTATGTTGGTGTGTATATGTTTGCAGTGCTCTGAATCCATGTTGAAGAAGCTTTAGGCCAGAGTGCTTCCAGCAGCTTACTTTTCCCATCTGTTCCCTTGCTAGAGGCTCAAGAGAAATTTTACCATACTCCTGGTATCAGTCATTTTGGATGATACTGATACATGTTTGTATAGAAGGACTTAAGATTTGAGATATCATTTGGAAGGACTTTGGGAAGGGGCAGGAATAAAGCTGTTATATGTTACCTTGAAACTTAATGGTTGTGTTTACAGTTAATCCCGATAAGGTGTTTTCCTCTCCAGCCCCAACCCATGCCCCATGCACTATGCCCTACCAGATTACAGATTACTGACTCTGGGTATCATGAAGCTGACGTTAAGGGTGAAGCAGCACTCTAGACTGATGAGAGATGATGCACAATAGTCAGAATCAGGGCACATGTGACTAATATCTTGGTTTAAGTGCTGCCTTTACAAGTTATGAAACAGGGATAACTGTGAGTGGGCAGAAATCCCTCATTTGTGTTTTACTAAGAACAGCTCCTCAATATGAATCTTTGTGTCCAGACATGAGGACATGCTACTCATAGGTTCCAGTCCCAACCAGAAACTCATGAGGGTTCAAGGTGACATGTCTTACACCTGGATTTTCCTTTAACGTTTCCTGAGAACTCTGGAGCAGTGATTCCCATTTGTTTGATTTCAGGATGCCCCAGTGAAGTTGTGTGACTTTGGATTTGCCAAAATTGACCAAGGTGACTTGATGACGCCTCAGTTCACCCCATATTATGTAGCACCTCAGGTAAGCATGTGCTATTTCTTCCATAGGATGTATCACTAGGCTGCCTATAGACTCATATTTCTTTCATTCTACAGCATGAGTGGGCATATATTACAAATGGAAAGGGGAGAACTCAGTTTCAGAAACCCATAGGCTGCTTAATTTGGTATAGGCATTTTATTCTTTTAACAGCAACCTTATTGAGGTATGATTAGTATACTGTAAAAATACTTCTACCTTAAGTGTAGTTTGATGAATTTTGACAGATGGATACTTCTGCATGGACCTTGTCAAAATCAAGATGTAAAACAGTTCTGTCACTTCAAAAACTATCTTGTGTGCCTTTGCAGTCATTCTGCTCCCAACTTAATCCCCTTAATTAAAACCACTGATCTACTTTCTGTCATTATTGGTTAGTTTTGCCTGTTGCAGAATTTCATTAGAATGGAATTCCTGTACCTTTTGTGTTTCACTTCTTCGACTCAGCATGTTTTTGAGATTCATCCATGTTGCTGTGTATATCAGTAATTAGTTCCTTTTTATTGCTAAGTAGTATTCCATCATATGACTAAGCCACATTTGTTTTATCTGTTCACTGAGTGGTGGCCGTTTAGGGTTGTCTCCTGGTTTTTACTATTATGAATAAAGCTGCTGGGAACATTCATTAACAGGTTTGGGGAGACATGCCCCTCCCCTTTAGGTAAAATCTTTTTTCAAAATGGTTGTGCCATTTCTTATGTCTAACTGAAGTTTGTTAGTATTTATAATCTTAGTCATTCTAGTAGGTATTTAGTGTTATTTCGTTATGAATTTAATTACAGCATTTTCCTCATTGCTACTGTTGGATATTTTTTCATGTGTCTATTGGCTGTTCTGTTGTGAAATATGGGTACAACATTCTGTTTTGAAGTATGGTACAAATCTTTTGACCTTTTTGTGATTAGTTTTTATTTTCTCTAGATTTATATATAGAAGTAGCACATCGTATGGTGTTTTCTTTGTCAGGGGGCAGTTTCGTTTACTCAGCAAAATTATGTTTATTTACCTATGTTATTCATATGTCAATAGTTCTTTCATTTTACTGCTAGAAGGTATTCCATGATGTGGATAAACCATGGTTTGTTTACCACCACTCATCTGTTGGTGGGTTGTTTTCAACTTTTGGCTGTTAAAAATAAGCCTGCTTATAAACATTTGTGCACAAGTTTTTGTATGGACACTTTATTTCCTTTTCTCTTTGGTAAATACCTAGAGTGGAATAGCTCTATCATATGTTAGATGTGTTTAACGTATTTAGAAATTGCCAAGTTGTTTTCCAGAGTGGTCGTTCAGTTTTACATTCCCAATCAGAAAGTTTCAGGGCTCTCAACATTATTACTGGCATTTGGCATGGACAGTCTTTAATTTTAGCCATTTAAGTGACTTTGTAGAGATATTTCACTGTGGTTTCAATTTGCTTTTTCCTAATAGCTACTGATGTTGAGCATCTATTGTGCTTCTTTGCTGTCTGTATATTTTCTTTGAAGTATATGTTCAGATGTTTTCCCCATATTTTAAATTGGATTGTTTGTTTTCTTGCTGAATTTGAGAGCTTTTTAAAAAATATGTTTTGGATATAAGTCCTTTATCAGATACATGCTTTGGAAATATTTTTTTCCAGTCTGTGGCTTTTTCTTTTTTTTTTTTAAATTGAAGTATAGTTGATTTACAATGTTTGAGGTATATAGCAAAGTGATTCAGTTATACACATACACACATATCATCTTTTCTGGGTATATGCCCAGGAGTGGGATCACTGGGTCATATGACAGCTCTATTTTTAGTTTTTTAAGGAGCCTCCATACTGTTTTCCATAGTGGCCACATCTATTTACGTTCCCACCAACAGTGTAGGAGGGTTCCCTTTTCTCCACACCCTCTCCAGGATTTATTATTTGTAAACTTTTTGATGATGGCCATTCTGACTGGTGTGAGGTGGTAACAGTGTCTTTCATTTTGGTGTGAAGACCAATTTGTTAATTTTTAAAAAATTTTATGGGTTTCTATCTAAGAGATCTTTGTCTAACCCAAGATCACAAAGATTTTCTACTATAAGTTTTATAATTTTAAGTTTTACATTTAGGTCTGTGATCCATTTTGACTTAATTTTTGTATAATACGTGAGGTATAGATCCAAGTTCATTTTTTAGCATTTGGATATCTAGTTGTTCATATATATTTGTTGAAAAGCTATCTTTTCTCCACTGCATTGCTTCGCAGCCTTTGTCAAAAACCAGTTGAATGTATATGTGTGGGTTTATTTTTGGATTGTTCTACTTTGTTCCATTGATTGGTCTTTATGCCAATATCATATACTGTTTTGATTATTGACACTTTTTAATAACTTTTGACACGAGGTAGTTTTAGCCCTCTGACTTTGTTCTTTTTCATAGTAATTTTGGTTATTCAGGTTTCTTAATATTTCCATATGGACTTTAGAATTGGCTGTTGATTTCTACAAAAAGTGTGCTGGAATTTTGACTAGGGTTGTTTGAAACATATAGTTCAACATGGGAGTACTGACAACATAACAACATCGAGCCTTCTGACTCATAAGCAGGCTGTATTCCATTTATTTTTGTCTTTGGTTTTGCTCAGAAATATCTGTCTGGTTTTCATTGTATAGGTCTTTCACATCTTATCCTAGATTTATCCTTAATATTTTTAATGCTGTAATAAGTGGAATTTTCTTTTTTAGGTTTAATTAATTCACTTTATTATTCTTGTGTGAGAACATGAGCCTGGGTCCTTTCTGGACAGAGACTACTGTGCGTCTTTACAAGATAGTGAATTCCTGATAGGGAGCTTTAGTGAGCACAGTCACCTTCAAGAGGGCAGGGGTAAGATGGCTGTAGGCTTTAGAGGTAGCATCCAAGGTGGCCCAGGCAAGGTTGCCCAAGGTGGCAGTGTGGCCCCTGGCCGAGGTGTAACAGTTTTCAGTACCTGCTGTCAGCAGCATGGTGCCGTGGCCATGAAGGCCCAGACAGTAGCAGTGTGTCTGGGTACAAGGATGACACCTACCAGCAGAGAGCTGCAGTATCATGTCACCGTCACGGAACTGTGGGGTTTGCCAGTCTTGTGTCCCCAGGAGCCCCACTCCCCATGACAGTGGAGAGCTGGGCCAGGGTGATGGCCGCGAGGGTGGCAGTGGTTACCTTCGGGGAGCACTTAGCACCCAGACCCGTGTGACAATTACAGTCCCTCATGGCAGCAAATACCTTGAACCTGAGCCACTGACCAGCAAGTCTGCTTTCACTGCTTGCTGAGGCATTAAGAGATGCCCCTAGGAAAAAGTAATCTCGGGAAGAAAAAATAAATCTCCTTCAGGGACTGAATCTTCTTCATGTCCTTGACCTAGGCAAATACCAATAAGTTGCTGATAATAAGAGAGAAAAAAGCCTTTTGAAAGTATTTAGAATTTTCAGAAATTTTTGATTGTTAACTGCCAGTGGCTACCCTCTTCAGCCTTCTAACATAGCAGTCTGTCTCAAGCTGCAGGTCACTGATGTGATGTTCAGTAAATTGTCCCCTTTGGTGTGACTCTGACAGGTACTGGAAGCCCAGAGAAGGCATCAGAAGGAGAAATCTGGCATCATACCTACCTCGCCAACACCCTACACTTATAACAAGGTAGGAGAAGAGAAACTAATCTCTACCCCTTGGGTGAAGCCTGTATTCTCCTGTGAGGTGTTTGTGGTCCTTTGGGAAGGTGACAGATTCTCTTTTTATCCCTTGATATTATATTGCCGCCTGAGAGGCTGAAAGAAGCTACCTACGCAGAAGAGTATTTGGGATTCAAGTTTCTGTCTGATGAAGTAAGATTCATACCAGTTTAGATTTTGTAGCAAGAACCAAAGGCTGTGGTTACCTGAAGGTTATTTATTTGACTAGCTGTACAGTCCACTGATCACATTTGAAAGATACATTTGTCCTGCTTTTTTGAGGTGGAGGCCATTTCAGAGGATATTCCTTGGCCATTTATGGTGCCGTTCTTTCTAACCCCATAAAATACCCAACTTGGAACAGTGTCTAATACACAAGGCAAGTGTCCTGAGTGGTACCTGTTTCTATCACAGTTGTTAATCTGTAGCCTACACATCAGGCCTCTCTGTCCTAAAATACAAGAGACTTAAGGCCTCTTGAAACAAGTCCTAGAGATACTGGAGTCATGGAGTGGTTCGGAAAAGAATGATGCTGCCTGGGGACTCAGGGAGATATACAGATGACAGGGAGGGAGCTGAGGATGGCAAAAGGGCAGGCCAGCTCCTCCTGGTTGCACAGCCTAAAGGGCCCCCATATTCCTACCACACGCACATGCATACACACACACAGACACACGTATCACAGGGCACACAGGCTCCTGTGGCACTCAGCACCCTCCACCTGGCACTGGCCCAACATGACTGGAACTCGACACATCTACTTTCATGGTTAACCCTGTTCAGTCCCCAAGTAAGTACTGCTCCACACCTTGCTCTACAAACTATAGGCTGCTGTGTCCTTATATAGTGAAAGTTGGAAGTGAGGGCTAGGCTGATGATAGTATCAGTTAGAGACTGCTTCCTGCTTCCCACTGTGGGCAGGAATTGAGTGGTAGAAGCACTTAGCTAATAGAGATCAGAATTTATTTGATACAATATTCACAGCATGAATACAATGGATTCTTATGTGATACATTATTTCCCAGTACTATTTTTTTCTCCTCTTCCTACTGTTTTGTGAATCTAATGGTGTTTGTGAATTTGCTTGGCATTCATAAAATTTACACTCCACAGATGAGTAATATATTAAAATAATAAGCTCATAATAATTTTGAATGTGTATATATATTCATCTAGTTATAATCTTTACATTGGCAACTGAGTGAACACTGAATGCTACATTTGCAAGTAATTTTTTAAAGAAACATAATGTAATAAGATGTAGTTAAATTTTCAAAAACTAAATACATCTATCTTAATTTTAAAAAAAGAGGCAGGATACTTACAGTGACCCCACCCTCGATCTGCTGCATGATGTTGGCTTCTGTGCTTAGCTTCACTCTTGACAGATGACCCTAGAGGTGACAAGATCTCTATAGCACCAGTTTCCTCATGTGAACAATTTTCCACATTTGAACTTTTTTTTTTTTTTTAAGATTTCTTTTCACCTCTATGATTTTATAATTGTTTTACAGCATGGGCCATGTCGTTTATGAATCTCTACTAGTAGTATGATGCCGAGACATGGCTGAGCATACCTGAGGCACCTGCTTTTCCAGGCTTCTTACAGGGCAGCGCACAGCTGTGATGTGAGGCGCGAGTGGCCACGGCGGCAGGCTCCCTGGGCCGCCCCCCTCAGGCAGACTCTGTTCTGTCCTGCTGTTCAGGAGGGGCTTGGGTTGGGTTGAAGCCTCTGTGGACCCAGTTTCTGAGGCAGGTGGAACTGCGTTTAATTAAAATAGGAGTCTGTTATTAATAAGCATGCTGTGACTACAGGCCATGCAATCACCTGAAACCTACAGACTTGGTAGCAGGTGGCAGTTTTGTTCCTTTCAGAGTATCTTCCCAAGAATGGTCTCGTACGTGGGCATAGTGAGTCCTTGGCCAAAGGATTGCTTTCCACCCCCCATTCTTCCCTGCTGTGCTTGTCCCCCATCTGTGTCAAACTGCTGTGAACCTTTAGAAAATGACTGGTGCTGTTTTTTGGGGCCAGCCCACCTGCATCCTGGCTATTTGTTCCTGTACCCTCAACCCGCCCAGGTGGCCAGAGGACATGTTTCACAACAGCTGGCTTATGTCAATTACTTTTCTGGCTGGGGTCAAAGTGTCTTACATCTGTACCCAATGGTCAGATAGCAGCTTGGGCCTCGGCGGTGAGAATAAAAGTGACTTTTTACCCCAGATTGGCCTTGTGTATATGGTGTGCATTGATAGCACATAACAAGGATAGAAAGGTTAATTCTCTTAAGACTTCCTGAAACTTTTCCAGTCTCTGATAAGTGATTCTTGGTGATACCGGCCTGTGGGTGTCAAGGGCTGTTACTGGGTCAGTTCTGGGGGCTTTATTTTAGAGCTGTGCCTCTGGTATGAGTGACCATTTTCTTTTTGCTTTCAGAGCTGTGACTTGTGGTCCCTAGGGGTGATTATCTATGTGATGTTGTGCGGATACCCTCCTTTTTACTCCAAACACCATAGCCGGACTATCCCAAAGGATATGCGGAGAAAAATCATGACAGGCAGTTTTGAGTTCCCGGAGGAAGAGTGGAGCCAGATCTCCGAGATGGCCAAAGATGTTGTGAGAAAGTGAGTCTCTGGGCCACTGGGCGGGGGGCCTTACAAGTGGTAGAACGCAAAGCAGTATTAGGTAGAGAAAATTCTTTGTTTCCCAGGCATGTATCTTCTCATTTTTATCATCACAGAAAATCTGCGCTGGAGTCTGAGATGAGAGTTCTCAGTATCCACATCTCGGTGAAATTGGAGCTGTACTCCCTCGTGTTGCATTCCTAGAATTTGTCCCTATGGTTGAATCTAGGTCCCTTGCTAGCCACTGTATCCGTGAACATTAATTCAGACTCTAGGGTATACCCTCCCTGCACAGAGGCCAGTCGTTCGGGACTGACACGGTGCCGGGAGCTGAACTGGGCGCCAGAATGACCACGTTGCCTCTGTCTTTCCCTTCCTCAGCTCCTGTGGGAGTGGGACTGTTGTCAGGACGTCAGTCCCACCCCAGCCTCCCTGCTGCTAGTTGTTTGCTCTGGCATATAGAGATATAAAGGTTCAAAAGGACTAGGGCTGAGTGAGTGTAAGGGACACATGATGTTTAGAGTCCTCTGCTTCTTACAGAGCAGCGCACAGCTGTGACGTGAGGCGCAAGTGGCCACGGCGGCAGGCTCCCTGGGCCGCCCCCCTCAGGCGGACTCTGTTCTGTCCTGCCGTTCAGGAGGGGCTTGGGTTGAAGCCTCTGTGGACCCAGTTTCTGAGGCAGGTGGAACTGCGTTTAATTAAAATAGGAGTCCGTTATTAATAAGCATGCTGTGACTACAGGCCGTGAAATCACCTGAAACCTACAGACATGGTGGTGGGTGGCAGTTTGGTTCCTTTCAGAGTATCTCCCCAAGAATGGTCTCGTACGTGGGTACGTGCTCCAGCTCCTTAGCTGGAGTAACTAAGAAGTCAGGCCTACATAGGAGGTGTGCTTGGTTTTTCTGCCCACCTGTCAGGGGATCTGCTGCCTGGGACTTCTGCGCTCTTCTGACATTGCTACTGCTTGGTCTTCACTGAGTAATTGCTCTTTTGGTTTCAGTTTCTTCATCTGTAATGTGATAGAGATAAGCATTAAAGGGGCATTACCTGGGAACTGTCTCCTAATAGTACAGCCATTTCTCTATGCAGATTACTCTCTTTCGGAAGTGAACTTGTCCTGTTGGTTAGGTGTTTATGTATATAAAAAGGGATTCATTTCTAAAATATCCAGGTGAAGGTGTTTTAGGGGGGTGGAGGCAGTCTGAAATCTGTGTTTCCATGCTGTATTCTCAGCCACTTAACCAAAACAATCAATATCCTGTAAGTTCTCTGCAGTTCTACAGACTGTATTTCCTGTCACTAGAGTAACACTGACTATCTTCTCTCAGCATTGAGGGTCTTTTCTAAATAATCCTTTCTTTAGAATCTGAAGCTGTTCACAATGATCCAGAAAGTTACAGAGAACATGAAAGAGCAAGTAGGCACGTTGTCCTGACTGATGTTTGAAATGGGAGGCTATGTATTTGGAAGGAGTGCTGTAAAAGGTCCAGGGAATATGCTGGGGTGAGCTAGGAATTGCATCGGTATGAATGTACAAGATGGAAAGAACTGTGGTCAAAAGCCGATGGTACAGACAATACTAATATTAGGCTTAGAAAGAAATGCTGTCCCCTTCTCAGATATTAGATTTTTAGCTTAGAATGTCTTTGGAGAAATGGCTCAGGGTTTGTGTCCTGCCATATGGTGATATCTAAGAGTTTTATCACAAGTAGCAACCTGGAATTTCAGAACTGTATGATCGTTTAACTAATTTTACAGCCACTGTTGGCCAAAAGAGTACTTTGAGTCCCTTTTGGGAATTATAGCCCACTGTCCTAGAAACATTAGTCTGGGAATTCAGTGTCTCAGGAACTGTTAGCCATGTGTAAGATTGATTACCTTACTGAACTTAGAACTCAGTCTGAGGTATCACTGGATTAAGCCTTTTCCTACCATTTTAAATCTCTATTTAGTATAGAAAGGACCGTCTAAGGACACAGTGCCCTCACAACTAACAGTTAGGGAAGAGAATCTCACCTCTGTCCTGCAGAAAGCCTAGGCTGTAAGAGTTGGCAGAAAGTAGAAAGTCAGAAGCTGGAGCTGGCTAGAACCAGACTCAGGAACTTCCTGGCCTTCTGGAAGCAACTGTGCATGGCAGCCTTTTGGCCTTTTCTCCACAGGCTCTTGAAGGTCAAACCAGAGGAAAGGCTTACCATCGAGGGAGTGCTGGATCACCCCTGGCTCAACTCAACTGAGGCCCTGGATAATGTGCTACCCTCTGCTCAACTGATGATGGATAAGGTTCTGAATGATGCTTGTGTTGTTGGCCAAAATGGTGGTGTTGGGAAGGAATGCTGGGGCTTGCCTCAGTGAGGGGGTTAAAGGCAAAACAATGCAGAGCGCACAGTCTTTCCAAGAGAAACATCTCTGGTCTCCTGAAGATCAGGATTGGAAATAAGGAGCCTCCTTCCATAAAGGCCAGATCAAAGCCCGGTACATACACTAAGGGAACATTCAAAGTATCTTCTTCCACATTTGTGCTGTGGGGTTGAGGCAGAGAGCAGTATCAGACATCAACTATCCTTTTGCCCAAGGGGTTTAAACAAGACTCGTTAGAAAAACCAATAAGCACAAAACCAAGAGGGGACACTCTTAGACATCAGAGCCTTTGCATGCTAAATTTTCTGTGAATTCTTATGGGAATTCAGAAAAAGAAGACATCTTTGAAGGGCTGTAATTAGGGAAGGGTTCCCCAAAAGAAGGCAAAACCCATCACAGTTATTAACTATTGTGTAGCACTTTTAAACCCCTTTACATGTTTAGCTATGAGCTGGCCTTTGAAGAATTGGAGTAGCGAGCACATGTGCCCACATATGGTGAACAACATGAGCAAAAAATTAGAGACTGAAATTCATCAGTGGGAAAAACAGCCTGATTTCATTAATAGGAAGTTGGTGAAATGGGTGTGACAGGGAAGGGCCTGGCTTTGAAAGTGTGACAGAGGGGTGTGAGTCTTAATAGGACCTAATTGAGAGGTTCTTACAGATTTTTGAGAAGAGTCCTGCCACAGGGAAGATATTTAGGGATAGTCAGTCAGACTTGCAGACTCACTAACCTAATACTGCTACAGTAATCTAGAAGCTGGGAAGCTGCTCTAGGAGCAGAGAGGTAGAGATGAATGAATAGGCTCAGTATTTTTGAAGACAAATTTCAACAATTTGGGGTGACGGATTAGAGATAAGGGGACAGTGAGTGGCATATCTGGTGATACCACTGACAGGGAAATCAGGAATGAGCCTGGTTTGGGTGAAGGGAAGTCTGTTAGATTTTCATTGTTATTTGATGGTAGATGGACATTCAAATGAATGAGATGTGTGGTGTGGATTCAAAGTGTGGCTGAAAGGTAAAGGCAGTGACACAGACTTGAGTTACTCACTTAGAAGGAATGGAGTTGAAGTGTGAGGGAATAAGTGAATAGGAAAAAAGAATGCTAAGACCTCCCTTAGTTTAGCTGGAGTACAAGAGAAGAAGAAAGGTGAACTAGAAGGGACAGAGTTTTCTGCTATCTCTGATCTGTATGCAGTTTTTTTCCTGGTTTAAAAGTATTCAGTAATCCAGAAATGGTTTGTTTGGTCACTCCCAAATACACGATTACTTATATCCTCTGATTGTCAGCACTTGAGTGTTACAGTGTGGCTTCCCTCAGGATGTTGGAAATGAAGAAGTAAGATTGCCTTCTGGAGTTCCTTTAAGATTAGTGTCTAACGAAGCCAAGTTCGAATATGCATAATCTTCTTAATGAAGAAAAAGGCCTTTAAGGTGAAACTGGAGTGTGACAGTGTATTCCCATTTTGAAAGAAATGATGTGGTCAAGATGCAGGCTGGTCAGCTTTGGAAGTGTAGAAAAAATGGCCACATGCAGAAGCTGAATAGTGTCCATCTCAGCTGTAGCTAGGAGATGGAGTCTGAGCTCATGAGCTTGCGGGTTCCCATCTCTTTGGTTGGGCTATCTCTGATAAGAAGGAAATAGATGCATGGGTCTGGAGATGGGTAGCCAGGGCCAATTACTGTAGTTTACTTCAATGAGTTTGAACTCTTCCGGATCTAATTGTGTGCTTATCAAGGAACTATTTTTTTTTTCTTAATCATCAGATTTTGTTGTTGAAATTCAAATAACACAGAGGTATATAAAATAAAAAGCAAAAGTTCCTCTTAATTACCCTGCCTCAGTCTCACCCCTCAGAGGTGAGGTGATCTGTGGCTTGATGTATCCTTCCTGATCTTTTTCTGAGGAGACACACATTCACACAGTCTGTCCTTTTTTTTTCTTTTTTTTTTAAATACAAAAGTGGGATCATCTTGTTCTAATGAAGCTTTTTGCTGATTATTTGCTTTCCCTCATTGGTCTGCCCATAGTGAGAGAACACACTGGTCATAAAGACAGACTTGAAGAGTGCTAGACTTGATGACAGTTCTCATTGTAAATTAATTGACTGGCCTTATAGATGAGTTTGTGAGGGTCTTCCATGCTCACCAGGTGAAATACTTGGGGTTCTGAGTCACTGGGGCTGAGGTGACTGTTTCTGCCTTGAGGGCAGCGAATAAACGCCGGTCAGGGAGTCTCCTCAGGCAGCAGCAGCCTGCCAGCCTTTCCCCTGATGCACATGAGTGACTCTCTTTACACTTGCCGATGGCTATGAGCATGAGCCTTGTTCGTTTCTCTTACTTGCCTTTCTGTCCCCCTGAAGGGAGGAAGGGCTTGCTGTTGTGTGGCCCTTGGCTGGCCTAGTATTTCCTGGGCCCTGCTGACCCATGGGGAAGAGTCCTCTGCCTTTTCAAAATTTGTATACTGCCAAGCATAAGACTGAAGTTACCTGCTTAGTTCTTTTAGAGATTCTCCTTCCCACTCTGTTAGATTGGTTTTTTAGGTGCCCAGAAACGAATATGAAAAACTGACACCAGTGTTTGTATTCAGGCGGTGGTTGCAGGGATCCAGCAGGCTCACGCAGAACAGTTGGCCAACATGCGGATCCAGGAACTAAAAGTCAGCCTCAAACCCTTGCACTCTGTGAACAACCCCATTCTAAGGAAGAGGAAATTACTCGGGTAACTGAACTTACTTCTTCGATTCTCCCTTCATGGCTGGTGTGGCCAAGGACTGGGTTCTGAAAGGTCAGCCAAGAGTCTTGCCCTTTTTTGCCTCTTAGGAGGGTGGAGAGGATAAGTTCTTTAAATAGCATCAGAACTTGGAGATACTTTATAATTAATTATTTTATCTGAAAAATCTTGCCTTATGTTTAGTGTTTAGAGGTAACATCTGTTAAGAGCTGGGTTTTGGGGTCTCACTTTGTTATTACCTTTCTCCCAAACTTCTAAAGCACCAAGCCAAAGGATGGTGTATACATCCATGACCGTGAGAATGGAGCCGAGGATTCAAATGTTGCCTTGGAAAAGCTCCGAGATGTGATTGCTCAGTGTATTCTCCCCCAGGCTGGTAAAGGTCACACCATTTATGAATGCTCTGCATGACTGTGTGTGTGCATGTGCACATGACTGAAGGAGTGGTTTATTTTATTTTATTTTTTTTAATTGCTGACCTTCATTTTTTACTTAAATATAGTGATTTTTTAAAAAGAATAAACAACAAAAAAAAAACCTTTACAGCAGATATTTTGCATAAATATAAACATGCATGTCTACTTCATAATTAAGCAAAATAAACTTTCAGGCACAAGATTTTAATAATCATTAAAGAACGAGACAATTAAATCAAGACAGAAATAACAGGAGCAACAAAGACATTTCATGACATTTCAATTGGTCTTGTCGTCCAACCTACTGGTTAAGGCCTGAGTTTTATGGATGAAGGAGTGGTTTAATTGGAAGTTTTCTGTTTCACCTTGGTGTTATAAGAAAATAAGTATGTTATATACTCTAAGCCCACTGAAAAGAGTGGACAATGGGAACTCAGAAATGTGGTGGGTTCTGCCCCACCTTTGGCTTCCTATGAAATTTCTAGTTTAATTGCCAGTGTCAGGCATAACATGTAATTTTGTATTTTCTTAGTTCATTAATGAGATAACAGGATAGAGGATAGAAAATGTGAACAGGGTCAGGATTAGGTTGGGAAGGTCAGGAAGGTTGAGAAACACCATATCTAGAGCCCGTATCTAGAGTACAAGGCTGTCATTAACTTGTGAATATAAAGAGAAGACCTCCCAAGTTCAGAAGTGGCCCTGGCTGCTACTGGTATCACAGGCAGACTGCGACTTATATACATGAGTCCTTTGAGTGAGAGCTCTCTTTCAGCATGCTCTCTTTCCCCTTAATGGGATAGGACAGGCTTTTCTCAGCAGATGAATGAGATACTTCACGTTGTAGGCCTGAAAACTACTGAGCTGACCAGTCTTCCTAGATTCCTTGGGTTTTAAGAGAGCTCACATAGTGTACCTCAGGTAGCCTTCCAGAGTAGGAAATGAGCTTAGGAAGAAAGAAGGTAGCCCACTCGGCCTTGTTCTCCTTCCTTCTCATGATCTGGTAGGTTAACCAGGTGTTTTTGATCAGCAATAGCCCAACATTGCCTATTTCCCATCCCCCAGGGCTAAGACTCCGGGGGCCTCAGGGGATGTCTGTAAGGTGGTCAGAGTAGGAAGAATTCAGAAACCAGAAGTAGTCTACATGTAATGTAGGAACTAGCAGTTATGATAGTCTGGAAAAGCTTGCACCTTTAATGACCACTTCTCAATAAAGTTGGACATCCTGTCCTTCCATCTTTGACACTAAAACCCCATGATGCTGCAGAGGAATGCAACTTCTTTTTCATCTTGATCAACAGGAGAGAATGAAGATGAAAAGCTGAATGAAGTAGTGCAGGAAGCTTGGAAGTATAACCGGGAATGCAAACTCCTGAGAGATACTCTGCAAAGCTTCAGCTGGAATGGTAGGAGTCTTAATTATGCCTTTCCCCAGGAGTGCAGAGAAGTATTTGTGTTTAGATTATGTAGGATCTCTGGGGGCTGAGCTGGGGCTCTGTTCAGGTGAAGTAGGGCTGGAGAGTGAGTGGAGTATTGTGGGACAGGGGTTAATCCTGCAGTAACTACCCAAGCATATCTGGACAATCCGGCCCTTTCGCTTATCTTCCAGAGTTCAAATGAATTGTGTGTTGCAGATTCATTGCTGTCCAGAGCCCCCATCATATACCACTTGGGCAAAAAAAAAAGCATCAGATCTCAGAACTCCTTCCAGATATCTGAGCTGTTAACCGAGTCATTATAAAGAGCAGTTCAGGAAAAGAAAAAAAGCAGTTCAGTCCAAAGGGGAGAAAGAGGGCAAAGTACTGCAAAGTCTACCCTGCAGATCTGCTCAGCTTAGAGAAGATCTGTTGCACTAAAGAGTGTCCCAAATCTGCTGCTTGTTAAATTTTTTTCCCCACAGGCAAAGGCAGAGGTGTATTTTGAGCTGCTTTTGTATTGTCTTCCTAGCGTAGTAGGCTAGACTTCAGGTCTAGGATGCTCAAGGCAAGGAGCCTGGTTTTTGGACATGAGAAGTCCAAAAGCTAGCCCAGCCATTTCTGTACTTGGAAATTAGCTTCTCTAGGATATATTTAAGATTTTGAAATCATCTGTACAGAAAAGTGACATTTGAGGTGCACACTTCCATAAATTTTCACAAAGTGAACATTCTCACATAACCAGCATTTGAACATGTGCCCTCTTCTACTACCTCCTTCCCCACAGGGTAATTTTGAGCCCAGTTTCTAGCACTATGTATCAGTTTTGCCTGATTTTATATTTTATGTATATGGAATCAGACAAATCTATGTTCTTTTGTATCTGGCTTCTTTTCGTCAATGTTGGTGAGATTCAACCATATTGTTGTGTGTAGTAGAAATTCATTTCTCATTTTTATATATATATGTATGTACGTAAATGTACGTATGTTCTCTCTATATATTCATATGTTTTTTTCTCCATAATATACACCAGATAAATCGTTTTTATGTTTATCCATTCTACTGTTGAATGGATATATGGGTTGTTTCCGGGTTTTGGTAATTAAGGAAAGCACTGCTCTGAACACTTTAGTATATATCTTTTTTTTTTTTAAGATTTATTTATTTCCATTTATTTATTTTTAGCTGCACTGGGCCTTCATTGATTCACACGGGCTTTCTCTAGTCGCAGTGAGCGGGGGCTACTCTCCAGTTGCAGTGTGCAGGCTGCTCGTTGCGGTGGCTTCTCTTGTTGCAGAGCACGGGCTCAAAGTGCATGAGCTTCAGTAGCTGTGGCTTATGGGCTTAGTTGCCTGGTGGCATGTAGGATTTTCCTGGACCAGGGATCAGACCCATGTCCTCTGCATTGGCAGGCAGACACCCAACCACTGGACCATCAGGGAACTCATTTCTCCTATGTATCTAGAATTGGAGTTGCTGGTTCATGGGGATATTCATCTGTTTGGCTTTAGAGGGTACTGCCACCATTTCCCAAAGTTGTCGTACCAACGTATACCTCCACTGGCAGGGTTTGAGGGTTCTAGTTATTCTATATCCACACCAACACTTGCTGTTGTCTTTTTCATTTTTAGTCTTTCTAGTTAGTAAGTACTATTGGTACTGCAGTGTCATTTTACTTTGCCTTTCCCTGATGACATATAAGCTTAAGCACTTTTTAATGTTTATTGCCCACTTAGATTTTGTGGAGTGCCTATTCTGTTGCCCATTTTTCTATTGACTTGTACCTCTCTTATAAACGTGCATGTCTGGATATGAGTTCTGTTGTAGACACATATTACAAAGAACTTCTCCCTCTTTGTGGTTTCCTTCTGTGCTGTTGTACTGAACACTGGATTTTTATGACCAGGTTAATAAGCTGCTCAACTCTACCTGAAAAATGGGGGACTTGAACTGCTTCTGATCAGTGTTGGTGATGGTTCCTCCATTGGTGAAGGTGAATTTGACACTAGTGAGGTGTACCTTATTGGGTCCCTGTCAAGAATCTTACCATCTCCCCAACAGTTTGGAGACTCACCTTTTCCTTTTTTGGGTTTCAGGTCGTGGATTCACCGATAAAGTAGATCGATTAAAACTGGCTGAAATTGTGAAGCAAGTGATAGAAGAGCAAACCACTTCCCACGAATCCCAATAATGAGAGCTTCAGACTTTTTTTTTTTTTTTAATTTGAAAATTTATTCATTAATGTATAATTTTTACGTAAATTAATAAATCATAATTTCATTTCCACACTGCTTAAAGATGCTGTATAAATTTAGATACAGGATTTACTAATAGTATATATAGTTCATTTGTTTTAAGAAAAGCTCAGTTCCTAGAGATATACTATTACTTTAGGATTGTTTAGTCATCTGTTGTAAAGCTGACGGTATTGTCAAGCAAGACTGTTTTATTTGTAATAAAGCGTACAAAAACCATTTGCCAGTGGTAGGCAAAGGACCAACTATATTGACCTCTCTACTTAGTAAAGAGCTGAATCAAGTACTGTGGAATCTGGTTTCAGTTGCCCTGTGTATTTCCTCTCTGCACTGTTGATGGATTAGCTCTGGTGCCAAGAATTTTTTGTGGATCCGTGTTGCAAACTGCCTGATGGAACTCAGAGGGTGCTGACTCCTGTGATGGAAGAGGCAGGGAGCTGAGCCCTCATTTCTCTGGTCCCTAATTCCCTAGGGAAAAGTGGTCCCATTTCTTTATTGTCATATTTGTTAAAAGGTATTGGTGTATTTCTTTAATAGGATTCTCTATTGAGTTTATTCTTTTCATGTTTAACCAGATCTTCAGCCCTGCCACTCCCTTCAAGGTCCTACCTTGTCCTGCCCATTTCCTGAAGCCCTCACCAGCTCCATTGCTTCTTACTTCCTTTTCCTGTTCTTCTGACTCCTTTTATGGAATGATTTTTCTGAGAAAGTTACATATCATAAAAACTGGACTAATGGATATTCATTGGAAGGACTGATGCTGAAGCTCTAATACTTTGGCCACCTGATGCGAAGAGCGGACTCACTGGAAGAGACCCTGATACTGGGAAAGACTGAGGCAAAAGGAGAAGAAGGTGGCAGAGGATGAGATGCTTGGATAGCATCACCGGCTCAATGGACATGAACTTCGGTAAACTCTGAGGGATAGTGAGGGACAAGGAGGTCTAGTGTGCTGCAGTCCATGGGGGTCACAAAGAGTTGGACATGACTTAGTGACTGAACAACAATAATCGGGTTAGCATCTAAGATGGTCCAGGTTTTTTGTCTTAAAGCTACCTTTTTTTCTCTAACGTTTCTGCCTGGGTTTCATGTTGGCATCCCCTGGACTGCATGTATTTTATTTAGCACTCTTCATTTTCAGGAAGCATGGTTCTGGCCAAGAGATCAGATACTTGAATAGAAACAAGGCTCAGTGCTTTTCTACTCTGCTGTTGTGCAATGGGCTTCCATAACAAACTGTTTTTATTTATTTATTTTAGTAGTTCTTGGTTGTTGGTTCGGTGTTGGTAAACGGGAGAGCTAATAGGCAAACTCCAATTCACAGAGAAGGAAAGGCTCGGTAGGCTCAGTTACTGTTTCATCCCATCACATTATCTTCAATCAAAATCAACCCCACAGAGCTCACTTAACTTTCTAACTCTTCCACTTTGCTAAGTATGTCTTCAGGATGACATTTGGTTAGTATACCCCGTATGTGTGTGAATGAGTGTAGTAATACATGATAAAAACAATGTATCTCTTAGGAATTACCCTATACATTGGTTCCCTCATACTTTGGAGAATTTTTAATTCAAGGCGTTTTTTGAGTTACGACTCACTAATCTCAGGTGACTGATAACTTATAAATGGATACCCTGTAAGGAGAATTCAATACTTTTAAACATGGCAAAATCTAACAGGCAGCAGAGAAAAACAAACCAGAAAACTTAGCTGAGAGTTGAATTAAAAGTTGAATTATTCTGTTTTTCAGTGAAATGCAGTCTTATAAATCACTTTTTGCAATCAGGAAAAACTGTGCTTGTTTCTGGAACAACTGAATCCCTGTTATGTTTCTTATTTTATTGCAGAGGTTCAGTATTGGCAGGCTTCTCTTGTGGCTCAGCTTGTAAAGAATCTGCCTGCAATGTGGGAGACCTAGGTTCGATCCCTGGGTTGGGAAGAGCCCCTGGAGAAGGGAAAGGCTAACCCCACTCCAGTATTCTGGCCTGGAGAATTCCATGGACTGTATAGTCCATGGGGTTGCAAAGAGTTGGACAGAACTAAGTGACTTTCACTTTCACTTCAGTATTGCCTGGGGCGAGGAAGGCAGTAACTGACTTTGTTACTCTTCTTTTTCTTCAGAGGAACCTTCTAGCAGAGGACCTAGTCTACTGTTAACTCAAATTTGTTATTTGGGTGTCTTCTAAAGGCTCAGGATGATTTCCCTGTGTGGTGAATTTTAGGTATGATCTAAAAGGGCATCCAAAAGATGCTTCCTTTTACTCTGAGCAGACGTTGCTCATGTTTCTTTACACTGAATTAAACTGGCCCCCCAAATGAGTAGAGTGTCCAGACAGGTTCACGCTCAAAGTTTTAGAATACCCTGAAAGTGAAGTGGCTCAGTCGTGTCCGACTTTTTGCAACTCCATGGACTGTAGCCTACCAGGCTCCTCCGTTGGTCCATGGGATTTTCTAGGCAAGAGTACTGGAGTGGATTGCCATTTCCTTCTCCAGGGGGATGTTCCCAACCCAGGGATCGAACCCAGGTCTCCCGCATTGTAGGCAGACGCTTTTACCGTCTGAGCCACCAGGGAAGTTCATAGAACACTTTGGAGGGTGTTTAAAAGTGGGTCCTACCTGACACAGAGCTCCATGACAAAACCGGAGCTTCCAAAAGACTCAGCACTGTTTGGTCTTTAAAGTGGGGTTTTGTTTATGGAGTTTGTCTGTAGGCCAGTAGCAAATTCTGCTTTAACTTTACCAGTCAGGTTTGCTAATAAAGCAAAATTAACATGTACTGGAAGTGAAACAAAATCATCCTGGTCTCTTCTGACCTGTCCCTCTAATGCCTGTATCTGCAGAAAGTTCACATTCTAAGAACAGTTTTCATAGGGACGAAGTTTAGAGTCTTCAGTTTTCCTACATGATTTGCCAACCCTCTGCTTACTATATAACCATTACTTATCGCTCAAATACCTTTAGATTTTACAATTATTAATCTATTTGATGCGGAACAACATTTGTATTTTTCTGGCTAATGTATTTTATAAGCTAGGAAACACTTGTCAGAAGTTAATTGTCTGAAACATGCAGATAGGAGGAAATGCTTTTTAAAAAAGACTTTTGTTTTTGTATTCATTTGAGATAGAATAAGTTGAAGAAATTATTGGTTGAAGTCAAATGATTTAAATCAGATCCTGTGTGTGAATACTTGCGTACATGTGTATTGACAAAAATGTGTTTCAATTTGAGAAATGGAAAACTGGATATTTAATTTTAATTATATTTTTATTTATTTAAAAAGTAGAAGTGGTCTTTCATTATTGATTTGATTCTTTTGTCCCACAAAATGATTTGATCAAATTTGTCCTGTCTGGTTAAGAACAGAGGAACATCTAAAATCTGTGATAGTTTCCAAGTTACATAATTTTAAGAGGCTTTTCTCTTATATAAAATACAAGGAGAAGGGAAATACAGCTAGAAATCATTTCACCATTTTTGCTGTAAATTTTTACTGGGTGATAATGATGGTATTAATTTCCTTGCTAGATGTGGATAAATTTCCTTGTCTGTGTTAGGAATTAAACATTAACTGGAAAGGGTTAATGAGTTGATGTGCTCATGCTTATATCTGAAATCTTGTATACGATTCTTTTTTGAATTATATAGTGCATCTCTCCATTTTTGTGCAGTACTTACACTCCTAACCCTTATTTTGAAGGCTTTATATTGTAAATATTTGACTTAATATAAAATTATTTTAATGCAATATAAAAGATGTAGAGTCTTACTTTAGTTGATATTAGGATGCAAAAAAGAATAACTGGGCAAGGGATGTGGATAAAGCTTTTCTTCCCCTTTTTTTCTTTTAAATCTATACTACTAAATATAACATCAACATCAAAATCAAACTGAAAGACTTTCATAGACATGGTTCAGTTTTAGTTACAAAAGCAAAGAGGTCTTTAAAAAATTCTTATACAGTGCATTTTTATTTTCTTGATGAAATGGTAACTACATAACCTGGTTATTCAGAGTTTAGTTTTACTCCAGAGTTTGTTTTTATGTTGGGAGAAATTGAACTTTGATCCTAGTCACTTGTTAGTCTCCATAGGGAAACTGAACTTCTTTCATTTAACAGTTAGTATGTCTATACATTCAGAATACTTCTTATTGGAGGAAAATTATGTTTATATGCAGATATAAAATGTCTAAACTCATCTGTCATGAACAAAAGTGAATGAGGGAGAATTTCTGCACCCATGTAGAAGTTTAAAAAAAAAACCAGACCCTGACAAAGAAGGACTGGACTGAGAAACAATACCCTCAGTACTACAGATACCAGGAAAAGAGGCAGTGGGTAACAAAGAACATCGTCCTGCTCTGGGATCCCCAAAGAATCCCCCTCCCCTCCCCCCTGACCTCCTGCCAGAATGTTGGGTTTCAAAGAATGAGCAGATTAACGGATATCAGGAGTAGTGTGGACTGGGCTGAGGACAAGGATAATTTGACTGAGTAAAGTACTGACTTGAAATCATTAAAGGCTGTCTACTTGGGTAGAGGAAACAGCCACGGAGCATTAAAACTGTTGCTGTTGGAAGGAGGTCATATATTAAGGAAACCACTGAAGACCAAGAGAGAAAAACAACAGAAACACAGCCCCAAGGTCTGTATGACTCAAGAGTCGGGCAGCACCCACCCATAAGGGAGCCAGCATAGATCTGGGGCTAATAGCTGAATTGCCCAGGCTCAGCATGCCAGGGAAAGCAGCTGCTGCCACTGGACACAAGCCCTGCATCATCAACGGACTCACCAGGGCCACGCCAGTGGCAGCATCTGGGAGAGACTCTGCCTCTATACCGCCTTCTCTACCGAAAAGGCAAGTGGCTATGTCTGAGGCTATCCGAGTGCTTCAAACTTGGGCTCCTCAGATGAAGGGCTTGAGACTGGCCCTGGTGCCAGGACTTTCATGTGCCAGGTTGGGGATCCTGTTGTTCTTGGTACTGATTTCTCTGCCAAGCCTGTATTGTGACCTGGGCTCACTATATCACTCTTCCTATGAAATAGTCATTCCCAAGAGTCTGACAGTGGAAGGAAGGGAAGACCAAGTGGAAAAGCTCTCCTATATGCTATTTATGCAGGGCCAGAGGCAGCTGATTCACCTGACGGTGAAGAGAGACTATTTTGTGGATAACTTCCCGGTCTTCAGCTATCACAATGGCATCCTGGGGCAAGAAATGCCTCTCATCTCACAGGACTGTCACTATGAAGGCTACATAGAAGGAGTCCCAGGTTCTTTTGTTTCTGTCAACACCTGTTCAGGCCTCAGGGGCCTCCTGATTAAGGAGGAAAAGTCCTATGGCATTGAGCCCGTGCACTCTTCCAAACGGTTTGAGCACGTGTTGTACGCCATGGGCCACGAAGCTCAAGTCTCCTGCAGCGTCACATCCAAAGACAGCCAAGTGGCGTCCACCGGCCGGCAACCACAGAGCGCCAAGCCTCACAGCTGGCACGGGACATCCGACCTGTGGTCACGTACCAAGTACGTGGAGATGTTTGTCGTGGTCAACAACCAGCGGTTCCAAATGTGGGGCGGTGACGTCAATCAGACAGTCCAGAGAGTGATGGACATCATAGCTCTGGCCAACAGCTTCACAAGGGGAATAAACACAGAGGTGGTGCTGGCTGGAGTGGAGATTTGGACTGAGGGGGACCTCACAGAGGTCCCCGTGGACCTGCAAGTTGCACTCAGGAATTTCAACAGCTGGAGACAAGAGAAGCTCTTCCACCGTGTGAAGCATGATGTTGCCCACATGATCGTGGGACAGCATCCTAAAGAGGATATGGGGCAGGCATTTCTCAGTGGTGCCTGCTCAAGTGATTTTGCAGCAGCCGTGGAATCCTTCCACCACGAGGATGTCCTCCTGTTTGCAGCACTCATGGTCCACGAGCTCGGACACAACTTGGGTATTCGGCACGACCATTCGGCCTGCATTTGTAAAGATAGGCCCTTCTGCCTCATGCGTGAAAACATCACTAAAGAAAGTGGCTTCAGCAACTGCAGCTCTGACTTCTTCCACCAGTTCCTCTGGGAACACAAGGGGGCCTGCCTGTTTAACAAGCCTGGGCACAAAGGCCGCTTACGGAGGGATTCCCGCTGTGGCGATGGCATTGTAGAAGGAGATGAGCAGTGTGACTGTGGTTCTAAGTGTGAAACGCACCCATGCTGTGACACCAGATGTAGGCTGAGAGAGCAGGCAGAGTGTAGTGATGGGCTCTGCTGTGATAAATGTCGCCTGAGATACAAGGGATTCATGTGCCGTGCTGCTTTGGGAGAGTGTGACCTCCCAGAGTATTGTAATGGTTCCTCGGGAAAATGTCCCAGAGACAGCTATAAGCTCGATGGTACAATGTGTGATAGAATTCACTACTGTGCTGGCGGTCGGTGTAAGAACCCTGACAATCAATGCATGGATATATATGGGTCCCCTGCAAGGTCTGCCCCAGAAAACTGTTACGTTTCAATGAACACAAGAGGGGACCGGTTTGGAAACTGTGGTACCACCAGCTCACCGAGGTTAACATATCTGAAGTGTGCAGATGATAACATATTTTGTGGGAAACTCATATGTACAAATGTTAGACAGATACCACAACTCAAACCCAATCATACACTGATCCAGGTCGCTCACAGAGATGACTGGTGCTGGAGCATGGATGCTTATGACACTGCTGATATCCCTGATGATGGAGATGCGCATACTGGCACTCTCTGTGCCCCACACAAAGTCTGCATGAATCACTTGTGTACTGATTATACCTCACTTGGTTACAACTGTGAAACAACAGAATTGTGTAACGGGAAAGGAGTTTGCAACAATTTGAGGCATTGCCATTGTGAGGATGGCTATGCTCCCCCTAACTGCAAAGATCCAGGAGAAGGTGGTAGTGTAGACAGTGGTCCTGCTAGTGTATCAATTCGACTTTCTAGTGAAGGTGAAAGTGAAACTCCTATGACACGTTCCACTGAGGGTGACTATCCTGGCAACATTATTTACATAGTCCCTGCGTTACTTTTGGTGTTTTTGATAATTATATTATTATTTATTAGCCTCAAGGCTGGAATTGAGTCAGTAGAGACCCCAGAGCAGGCCTCAGAGGAGGAGACAGAGGAGAGCAGTAGTGAGGGATTCATAATGGAACTCCTCCCAGTGGGGCTACGAGAGGAGTCAGAGGAGGGCCTCCCACCAGAGGGAGCCCCCCCACCAGAGGGAGGCCCCCCACCAGAGGGAGCCCCCCCACCAGAGGGAGGCCCCCCACCAGAGGGAGGCCCCCCACCAGAGGCACCCCCTCCGGAGGGCCCGCCGCCGGAGGCACCCCCACCAGCAGGACCCCCGCCGGAGGCACCCCCGCCGGAGGCACCCCCGCCAGAGGCTCCCCCACCGGAGGCCCCCCCGCCGGCGGCACCCCCACCGGAGGCCCCACCCCCAGAACAGCCAGCAGCATAAGAGGCAGCCGGTGAAGGACAAGAATAACCAAAGGCAGAAGTATACTGGAGGAAGAATTCAAACATCTCAACTATCTCAAGCACGGAGTGGGAATAAGGCACTCACAGAAGCAAAGGTGAAGTGAGAATTGATGGACCCTGTAACTCTGACAGGGACAGTCTACAGAAACACACCAACGTAGGGACAGGATGACAATGCTTTCAGTATTCGTTTTATTAATTTGGTTATATATTCATATGTGAACTCATATTTAAAATATTCTACACTTTTGCTTTCTTTCCATTTCATGAAACAATTTTATGTAAGTTCTTCTCATGAATCATACTTATCAATGTCATCTTTTAGTTGGGCCAATTTTTGATCTGAAATTACTTTTCAGGGCATACTATCTTCTATCTCCATTGTTTGATATAAAGTATTATTTGCACCTAAGATTATCACAGGATCATTCATCCCACTCATATATATTATTTAAAGAATGTTATCTGTTCAGTAATCTAATTTGCCTCAACAATTACTATTCATGAATAGAAAATGATTTTAAGTAAATAAAAAGCTATTTTAAAAAGCATCACTTCAGACTCCATAGTGCCTAGTCCTTGGGGCTTCTTTATTTTGGGACTATCTTGGAAGGGGCTACATCTGATCCAGGGTGGTCTGATCACCTTGGATGCATGGGGGTGGTGCATGAGGGAAGGAGAGCACTTAGGCAAGAGACAACCTTGTCTAGTGTGGAGTTCAGCTGAAATTATCAATTATTCCCTTTTTTCTACTTATATTTATTTCTGATTTTTAAGTTAATATATTGCTGACTGACAGTCTAAAGAAACAGAGCTTTGGAGGGGGGTAGAGCACAAAGTACATATAACCTCACTGACTGTGTGTGGTCAAACGCTCCACCCCTGAGCGGTGCCCCCAGGCACATATAACATCACTGACACTGTGCTCGACACTCTACACTCATCCTTAATGTAATCCTCCCACGCACAATATGAGACCTCCATCTTGTGCATGAAGAAACAGAGGCCGGAGGGTTCTGTTCTAGAGGTGGTAAGGAGTGGAACCTGTATCACCATCACTCCCTCCTAGACAAGTGCAGAAGTAATTACCTGATCTCTCTGCTCCCACAATAGTCTACTTTCTACCCAGCAGACAGAGTGATTCTTTTAAAAAGCAAGTCACAACACACGCATTATTTTTTTTTTTTTAGTGGAGATGCCGGGATCGAACCGGGGGCCTCATATACACCCATTATTTTTTAAATGCTGTTGCTAGGTCCACAGCCTGAGGGCCCCGTGTTGATCACTGGATTTGACAATGGAGAGTTCTTTATCCACTGACATCCTGGAGCTGGCAGTCTGGGTGGATGCATGGGGGTGAAAGCTTATTCCAGTGGAGCCAAAATACAAAAGATGGGCCCCAAACCATCTGTGAAGGTGTTCAACCTCTTTAGTATTCAGAGAAAGGCAGATTATCTATATCACTATACACTCACAAGACTGATTACAGAAGAAGGAAAATTCCAAGTATTACTGTAGAACAGTGGAAACTCTCATCAACTGCTTTACAAATGTAAACTGGCATGCTACTTTGAAATAGCATATACTGAATATCCTGACATCTGCATCCTCTTACTAAATAATGGACACAGAAGCACATTTCACAGTATTCCAAAAGAATTCCACGTTGTATTCACAGATAATACAATGGACGTTAAATTGTGACAGATCCACACAGAGAAAGACAGGAGTAGAGCAACGGAAAGGAATGAACCACAGTGGCACACAAAAGCACTAAGTAAACTTAAACACTACTGTGGAGCTAAAGAGGCTTTACATTAACACTGCATTCATCTGGCTTCATATTTGTCAGGCGAATGTATGCTCCTCGGTTCTTTGTCTCGTCACAACAAAAATTTGGAGTGATGGACATTAAAGCCCCCTCAGCGTGTCACAGCTCTCGGAGGACAGACCGTGTTATAGCTCTTAAATAAATCAGTGTTACAGCTCTATTTATTTAGATAATAGCAGGAAAATCCATCTTCGAGGCGTGAGGGCATGTCGATCCAAAGACGGGAAAAGAAGAGCACCCCATCGTGCGGGGGGGCGGGGGGGGTTGGGGGGGTGGAGAGACAGAGAAGAGGGCTTTGGCTCCTCTTTTTATGTTTTTTTCGTCCCCCTGGGCCTGTCCTATGCAAATTGGGCTTAGGCAGGAGCACTGTTCTACCTGAAGTCCTCACACCTTCCTTTGACCTTCCTCTGCTCTATTTTCGAGGGCGTTTCCCTTCCTTATCTTTTAGCCACGCCATTTTGGACTCCTTTTCCCTATTCTAACTACCTAACATTATGAAGTGAAGAGGGAAAATGGGAAGCACTTCCCAAAGGTCAAAATAAGGGTCTACAGAAGCCCCTCCTCCATAAAAGCAGTGGTAACACTGGCAAAAACAGTCAAAATCAACTTTTTTGCAAGTGTGGAAACTGTCTAAGTCATAGAACAACAAAATAGCTGAATCTTGGTGAGAGCAGCAAGGTGTGTGAACTTTTAACTACCCTACTCCCATAGCCTTCTCCTCAGGTCCCCACGAGTCATCTCAAGTACAACTCAACTGCATCATCTCAACTACAATGGCTGTGAAAACAGGCAGCCTGGTAGAATGGACAGAACAGTTTGGAGCTCCCTCAAAAGCCTACCCATAGCATCACTACTAAGTTGCGTGTCTGGCAGGTCCCTGGAGAATCCCCATTCAGGAAACTTGTATTCCTATAAACCTCATAGGAGAAAGCATAAGGCAAAAGTTTCACAGCACTGGATTTGGCAAAGGTTTCTCAGCTATGACACCAAAAGCACAGGCAACTGAAGAAAAACAGACAAAATGGACTTTAGGAAAATATTTAAATTTTGTGCATCCAAGATTACTATATATTCACAGAGGGAAAAGGCCACCCACAGAATGAGAGAAGACGGTTGCGAATCATATTATCTGATAAGGAACTACTATCCAAAATAGATAGCGAAAGCTCCTAAAACTCAACAACAAAAAACCAAACAGCCTGATTCAAAACATGGGCAAAGGACTCAAATGGAAATTTCTCCAAAGAAGATACACAAATGACCTTTTGCATATGAAAAGATGCTCAATGTCCCTCATCCTCAGGGAAATGTCAATCTAAACTACAGTGAGATACCACTTCATATCCGTTAGCATGACCACTACAAAAACAGAAGAAAGCAGAGAAGAACAAGTGTTGGAGAGGAGGTGGAGAACACGGGACACCTGTGCCCTATCGGTGGGGAGGTAAAATGCTGCGACTGCCGTGGAAGGGTACGGTGGCTCCTGAAAGATGTTAAAACTAGAGTGACCATGTGATCCGGCAAGTTCACTTCTAGGTACAAGCCCAGAAGAATGGAAAGCAGGATCCCAAAGAGAGATTTATATGTCCATACATGCAATGCTCAAAGCAGCATTATTCACAACAGCTAAAAGGTGGAAGCAACCTGAGTGCCCACGGAGGGGTGACTGGAGAAGCAAAAGGTGGGCTATACATACAGTGGAATATTATTCACCCATAAAAAGAGAGGAAATTCTGCAAACTGCCACAATATGGATGGATCTTGAGGACATTATGCTAAGTGAAATAAGCTTGTCACAAGAAGACAAATACTGTTAAGATTCCACTTAAATGATGTACTTGTGTAGTAAAATCATACAGACAGAAAGTAGGACAGAGGTTCCTAGGGGCTAAGGGAAAGAAGATAATGAGGATCTATACTTTAATGAGTGCTGTTTCCTTTTTACATAATGAAAAGAGTCCTGGAGATGGACAGTGGTAAGAATTGATGCTTTTGAACTGTGGTGTTGGAGAAGACTCTTGAGAGTCTCTTGGACTACAAGGAGATCCAACCAGTCCATCCTAAAGGAGATCAGTCCTGAATGCTCATTGGTAGGACTGATGTTGAAGCTGAAACTCCAATACTTTGGCCACCTGATGTGAAGAGCTGACTCATTGGAAAAGACCCTGATGCTGGGAAAGACTGAAGGCAGGAGGAGAAGGGGACGACAGAGGATGAGATGGTTGCATGGCATCACCGACTCAATGGACATGGGTTTGGGTTGACTCCTGGAGTTGGTGATGGACAGGGAGGCCTGGCGTGCTGCGGTTCATGGGGTCGCAAAGAGTCGGACACAACTGAATGACTGAACTGAACTGAATGTAGCACAACAGGTGACAGTACTTAGTACCACTAAAGTGTACACTTAAAATTGGTTAAAGCGGCAAATTTTATATTCTGAATGTTTTAACAGAATGAAAAAAATCCAAAGAAAAAAAATGAGACAATTTTCCACTCTAAGAGATAACCACTGAGAAAGTGCAAAAGCCCAAAGAATTGGAGAAAATATTTGTAAATTATATACTGACGGAGATTAGTTAGCACCCATGAAATATTAAGAACTCTTACAACTCAACAAGACCCCCTGTTTTAAAAGGTCAAATTATGTGAGCAGTTGTTGTTGTTACTCAGTCA